ATCCGTCGACTATTCGAGGTTTGGGGATGAGTCAGTCGTACCTATCCTATTGTTCTGCCCATCGGCACACCCCGTGTCAAGCGTCGAGCGTTCGTTTCATCTCGGATGGCGCGGCAGTCACTACGTCGTCGCCTGACGCATTCCACGCCTGCACTTCCCTGCAAGTAAAGAAGTTCTGACGCAACTCGAGCCGCACCTGTGGTTAACGCAATATAAGTCCGTTTCCTCTCGTTCTGCCGCTGCCATGGAACTGGGAAAACCTCCCACGCTCAACGCTCTCCTTTCCTTTATCGACGTTAAAAAAAGCCTGGATGAAGTCACCCTCCCCTCCCCTTCCTTCACCTTTTCTCTCTCTCTCTCTCTCTCTCGTACGGCCCCAATACTTGTAAACGCTTTTCGTAAGGAAGTCTGCTAATCTCCTTGTTTGTTGTTGAAGCCTGCCTCTGGACCCTCTCGAGCGCCGTTCACTCGCTTTCATCTGTCGGCTTCCAAAACCGACCGCGACACCCTAAATGGGATCTCACAAACGCCGCACGCGACGGAAGGCTAAAGCGCGAGCTCTCCGAGGCCATGGAACGTCGGACGAAACTTCGGTTCCCGTTACATTCATCTGTCGTCGCTTACGCGTGCGAGGAGAACTTCAGTGCATCGATCGTCATCCTCGAATCTCACTCTCTTCGTCAAATTCATCTCTGAGACCTATCGTTATCGCGACCGATGAGAAGCACCTCGAGTTCACTCTCGTTAAATCTCGGGAGTCGTTTCTCGATCCGTTCGTCCGAGAGCTGTAAACCCAATTCGGATTTATTTCGTCTCGTTCGCGCCGTCCCCCACCCTTGGTGGAAAAACTCATTTTGGTGCCGTAAGAAAATTTGCCGATCTCACCTGCTAGACCTCGATCGAAATCGCTAGTGTCGACCGGGGCTTCTCGACTCGTGGGTGGCCGAGACCATATTTGGGGTCGCGAACCGGCAACTAAATCCCGAGTTATGTATTTCTTTAGGATTTTAGTGCAGAGGAGGAAAAGCCTGTGGAACTCGAGGCAGCGATCGGGGTCCCGAATGGCACGATCCTGATTTTTTGGGTCGCGCCTGAAAAAGGATGGGAAGCCCCGTGTAGACCAAAAGGCGAAGCGGCCGTTCGACTTCGTCCCTCGGGACGACGCTGGCTCGACCGACTTCGATCGTCGCGTGGTGTCGTATAGCAAAACGATAGCAAAATGCAATAGGATTCTCGTCTTCATCCGTCGTTCCGTAGCCAGTGGGAGTTCGTGGGTTGACCTCCCGTTTTATGCGGCACTGATGAGACCCCATTCGGAGAATTCCATTCGATTTTGGAGGCCTTGGAATGGGAGCGAATCGGCGGAGCTCGAAGGGGTCCCGAGGAGGGCCAAGCAAATCATCGACGAGGTGAGGGGACCGGGAGGGGACCGGGAGGGGACCGGGAGGGGACCAACCTACGAGAAGCGTTTAGAGTGTTGGGGTCGTATTCCCTCGAGCTCAGGTTGCGACCGAGGTACCTGTACTTGTGGCGCGTGCGACGAGAGGAGTCGAGAGGGTAGGGCCCAGGGTAGGGCCTACCCTCGTACGTCCACTCGCGGGGGGCGGAGAGCAGCTCGTCTCTGAGCTCTACGCTCGTTCGCGTGGCAGCATTTTCTCCCGTTGCAAAGGACGACCGTTCGTGCCGAAAGAAAGCGATTGCAGGTATCGGCGAGATACCGTCCGCGTTTCCACGGGTGCCTCGTCGGTTTCGTTCGGCAGTCCGGTCGTACGAGAAAGCGAATTCGTGTGCGAGCCGGGGAGATCGATCGTAGAGCGAAGCGAAACGGATGGGATGGTAAGACACGAACGTGCCGAAGAGGCAAGGAAGCGGTGCCGAGGCCCGCCGGCGGGAAGACGCGCCCCGACGAAACGACCGATCGTATTCCTGCGACGTGCCGGCGACGGATAGTGGCATACGACCGAAAACATCGGTGAGAAACTCCCTTCCCACGAGTTTCACCCAGTACTGCGACCCCCAAGACGCATACGGCCGTCACTCCTTCGCGTTCTTCTTTCCACGGAGGAAGAAAATGTAGGCCCTTTGGATACCGAAGCGGTTGAAAGCGACGCAGAGCGGTCGAAAGCCATTACGTTCGGCCCGAGTGCATTCGATCGTTCTAAAAGGATGCCGATATGCACTTTCCGAGATCCGATTTATACGGTGGAGAATGGAGAAAACACAAATTTCCAGAAGTTCCGCTTCTAAATCTCTCTCTCTCCTCGTCTTCTTCCGAATGTACTCTCTCTCTCGGGACGCGGTGCCAGGTCCCGAAAGGCCGATGGCCCACCTCGCCCACCTCTCCCACCCCAGCCGACCCCGAGCTTTCGTCAGGAAACTCACGGGCGCAGTCGCGAGGAATATTCTTCGAGGAGCTCAAGGAACGAAGGACTTCCACGGCATTGCGAGACGGTACCGCCGCAGATCGGAACGTTCGAGTTCCCACGGTCGGTTTAAGATCGAGGTTCCCGTCGCGGGAGCCAAAGGAGCCACCGACGGTGCCCTTCGCCGAACACACACCACCAAAAGAAAAGGAGACGCCCAACGTGGAGGCTCGAACCCACGACCCCGAGATCAAGAGTCTCGTGCTCTACCGACCGAGCTAGCCGGGCGAGACATCACGAAGTCATCGTACTCCATTTACTCCTTTCGAACTCGATCCGTTCGACCATTCGTTCGAAGTATGGGGAGGGGTCAGTTGTGCCCATCGGCACGTCCCTCGTCGAGGTCGGGCGTCGAGCGTTCGTTTCATCTCGGATAGGCTGAACTCTCTCGAAGATCGATATTTTAACGGGAGCATACCTAGGCCCAGTCGCCTGCTGCATGGTCCACCCGATGCCTATTCGCTTGCATCGATTGCTTCATTTTTCTCACAAAGGCATCTAACTTTCTCTTAACCCTTTCCGCAATCGATGGCTAACACAGTTCGACGAAGGAGTATAGAAGGTTATAACCGGTGGCGTATTTTACAGGGGGGCAGGGGGGGCAACCGCCCCCCCTGGCGCCCCCTTGGAAGAAATCATTTTCTCACCTGATATCACCCGGGTGGAGTTTGGCACCCCCGCTCTGTTGCCTTGCCCCCCCTGACCCTTCGGCCAAAATACGCCACTGGTTATAACTTATAAGTAGTGATGGCGCGGGGCAGCCACTATGTCGTCGCTTGACATATTCCACTCCTGCACTACACTGCTAGTAAAGAAGTTCTGACGCAACTCGAGCCGCACCTGTGGTTAACGCAATATAAGTCCGTTTCCTCTCGTTCTGCCGCTGCCATGGAACTGGGAAAACCTCCCACGCTCAACGCTCTCCTTTCCTTTATCGATGCTAAAAGCCTGGATGAGGTCCTTCCCTCCGGATAGAAAAACATACATTGGTGCCGTTTTAAAAGAAAGTTTGCCGGTCTCACCTGCTCGGCCGAGATCTAAATCGGTCGCGTCGTCCAGAAGACGAAGCGGTCGTTTGAACTCGTGCCTCGGGACGACGCTCGCTCGTCCGACTTCCGTCGACACTTCTCCGTTAACCATCACGGGAGAGTGCTGGAATCCGCGCACCTCGATCCTTTGCGTGCCACGTACGGTGATCGCCCTCGTGAGATCTTCCGACCTGGGATACTTCGTACACGGTCGGAAGCGGAATTCGTGTCGACGTCGCGACTCGGCCGGTGAGCGGCCTCGCGTTCTCCATTCGACACGGAGCTCCTCGACCCTGGGTCACCCTGCCTCGGAGTTCCCACTTCACTCCCCCGATGTCGCTCCGAGTGATTTTCCACTTTTCCCCGTTGCGAAGGAGACCCTGCGCGAGAGGAGGTTCGCGACACGCGAGGAGGCGGTCTGGGCCGTCCGGCAGCGGGTGTGGGAACGGCCTCGACGACTCTTCCGGTCGGCCATCGACGAGCGGTCGTATCGGTGGGAGAAGTTCGTCGCCCTCGATCGAGAAGACGCCTGTGCTCCCTTGCAGGGGGAAAGTGCGACGTGCGACTCATCGCGATGGCGGTGTGACCCACGTGTCGATACCGGTGCGATGCGATCGTCACGTCGTGTCGTACATGCTGCCGTTTTTTATCGCAGCGTCGTACCCACCCACCGGGTTTCAGGATTCCACGACGCAAAAGTCGCATTACTTTTGGCACACCCCTCTTAGTTATGGCAGCAGCAAACTCGCACGCTTAAAAAAGTTTTGGCACCGAAAGGGTTAAGGCCACGGGTCATCAAAACGGCAATTTTACTCGGAACAGGTAAAACGAGGACCAGAGGCACGATTCCCAGCGTCGCGAATTCTTAAACTCACTCGTTTACGTTCTACAATTAAAATACGCTCATTTTTAGGGCGCCAAATAACCCTCACAGTCGTGTTATTTGGGAGTTCGAGTCGGGAGCTCGACCCCTTCATGGAATTGGAATTTTTTAAATATCTAGTTGTCTAGGCCTCCGAAATCGAACACGATACTCCAAATGGGGTCTTACCAGAGCCGCACATGACGGAAGAATAACGTTCGAGCGTCTGTCGGCTATAGAACGTCGGATCGTGCCTAAAATCCTGTAACATTTAGCTACCGTCGCCTGCGCGTGCGAGAACCCGATTTCCTCATCGATAGTAATCTCTAAACGTCTCTCTCGGTTTGCCTCCTCGAGTTCATCGAAAGATCTATCGTTATTATGACCGACGTAAAGAAGTTCGATCTCCCGGATCGCTCTCGGACTCCGTGGACTCGTTTCCGATCGTCCCGGAACTCGGGGACTCGTTTCGGATGTTCCCCATGCGAAATGCCGTTTTCGATTCTCGACGATTCTTAGTTGGATCCCTCCCTCGTCCTTGGAGGCGGAACGTCATCCTGATCCCTTCATTTTTTCGTTTCGATCTTTCCCCGTTTAACCAAAACTTCGTGCCTCTGCGTCATTCGGAAGGTACCGTCATACACCTCGTGATGCCGACGATCGACGATCACTATTGTGTATTTTGTATGGAAAACCATTTATTCTTATCTCTGCAAAAACAAAAAAGGAAACAACACAACAATACTTCATGGTATCTCCTCTCACTTTCTTTTCTCATGCACACCAACATAAAAAATTTTCATTCATCAATATGCCCATGTTGATATCAATGCGTTGAATGGCGTTTGAACTAGAGGGAGGGAGCAGAAAATAGTGAAAAAAGAAATTTGAGAAAGAAGCAATGCCTGGGAACAGTCAATTCATCCACTTGCGACAATTTAGTGCCCCGCACAGGCACGGAATCTTGTTGTCATCCTCCACGTCGAAGCGGTAGTCGTACGCCAACTGCGGACAGACGGAAGCACTCCGGCAATTAGATCAAAGACGACGACCAGGACAAAGCTCAGATCTATACAGGGCATGTCTTGAATGTATCATCAAAGATGACAATGGAGATGGAATATTGCGAGATTCAACACCTGTGCTGAAACATCTTGGGACAAATTATTTGTTAGACTGTGAAAATTTCCAGCAGAAACATACTTGGCCAGTATTGTATGTTTTTCAGGTTACTATAACCCCACCTCACACTGTTAACCCTAGCAATACCAAGCTTATTTTTGTTCCGTGGAGTACCAATGGGGGTGGGGGGTTGGAGGCCCAATATTCAAAATTAATTAACAACAATTTTGTATTTTAGGCATAATACTCCACACATCACAATGGGAGTACAAAAAGTACTTTTTTTTTTACAAACTAAGCTGATAATTAAATTTCAACATAGGAAGAAAGACAGGGCCCAGGCTACGAGGCCCCCCCACCCTCCCTTTCATAATGCTTGGGTTAAAATAGTGAGTGGTAGAAGATGCAAGTGAACACACCTCTTCACCGCGAGCAATGCGTCGGTTTGCAAATATGATGATTTTGACGTCTCGATCCACCTCGACCGCCTCTGCGACACAGTTCGGATAGCACGAGTGATTGATGTATCGAGCGAGGCCGCCCTTGAGCGTGGCATCGATCACTCGTTCCTCGTCCAGCCTGAACATGTAGATCCCCCTATTTTGGGCCTGGTAGCGCTTCTCCCTCAGCTCTGCGATCTGCAGTCGGATCGTCTCTCCTATGTATTCGATCACCATCGTATTTCGTTCCAGGTCTCGGGCGGCATACAGACCCAGACCGGCGATCTTGGACCTGCAATGATTGCATCGTTCATAGAGATTCCTAGGATCTAAAGTGCGATAGTAATCAATGAGGTTTAAATAGGCACCTGGCCAGGAAGACATTATTTCGCCACTCCTGCTTCATGCGCTTGTATTGGGAACTCTTGCTGTGGATGTACTGCTTGCCAAATAGGCCATATGGATCGTATGCATAGAGAGAGTGGAGCAAAGATGCTCCAGAGTTGCTGCTGCTACTGTTGCTGTTCGCACCACTTGAACCCCCTCCTCCAGCACTTCCCATCACAGTAGGCATCACCGGCCCAACTCGTCGGTGAGATGTGGCGGGTTTCTTGAAGTGAGTCCTCAACTTTGGTTCCGATCGGGCGCAGCCTTGATGACGGGACGACACCAAATAGAGGCATCGATCATGAACACCAAATCAACCCATCTTTTGTGATTTAGCATTTTCCCACTTACCACTAGGATTGATGGCCAAAGGAAGCTCAAAGATAGGATTCCTCCCATATTTGAATTGATAGTCAGTGAGGGTGTCTATGCCGGGTAGGGACTCGACGATGCGGATGATGGCCGGCTCTGTCAATCCAAACAGATCTTCCCCTGCAAGAGAATGACAAAAGCATGACTGTGAGCAGTAACCAACATTAAGAAAGACATTGCTAAAGAAGGAATGCTAACCTGAGATGAACTGTGGGAAGACATTCATGCAAGCGCTGGCCTTGCGGAGCTCAGCAATGGGTTCCAAGATCTTCAACCACACCTTCCTGGGTGTTGTGTCAGAGAGAGTAAGTGTCTCATAGGGTGGTTCTTGTACCTTGATCATGAATTCGGGTTGTCCATCCTTCTCGGCGATGCTGCACTCGTATATGCAACGTTTGTTCAGACGACGCATACTCCAATACATCCGAAGCTGGAGTCCGAGAAAATCACAAAACACAACTTTGGAGACTGCTGGTATACAGTAATTGTACCCTACATACATGTTAAGAACCTCAAGTGTTTTTGGCCTGCATCTGCATGCACTCCAGAAAGACAGTATTTGTGGAAGCACAATGTATGTTTATTATAGTGTTTTGATAACTGATGATGTCACATTAAGTTGGAAGTCAAAAGGAAGGCAAGAGCATCATTGCATTCCATATGAGGAAAATAGCCAATAATAGCCAACATGAGAACATGAGGATAAGCACTGGATTACAAAGTTTCACAAATTTCAATGTAGCCTTGGTGTATAGAGTGACCCACATGTGTCACGAATACAATCTTTCTATTTTGGTCATACGAAACTTGCATGATCAGATATTTTTCAGTTTTATCACTTGATTTATTCAGCTCAAAGGTAAATAGCTCTAAAAATCTGAGTAGCTCAACAATCACCTCCTCCATTAATTGTTCATGCACAGGGTCTTAAGCTCAGGTAAAGCACTTATAGTCCATTACACTTGTATATTAATTGCCAGATATTGAGATCTTATTCAAGGATCTGGGAACACTCACTATTTTGTATCCAATTGGGTAGATGAAGTGATTATTGTGAAAGGAAGGAAGTTGATGAGGTAGAAGCTGCCCAAGGTCAAGGAGGATCAAGGACCCGACCCGGAGAACGTGGTTGTCATCCCCTTGGTGCATGATGGATGCCACCTGACGAATCTCATCCCGTTCGATGTACACCCGTCTGAATACAGCCAGTGTCGTCAGCTCGTTGTCCTTCTCGTTCCTCAATATGTGCTGCGAGCAGTAAACTGCCTGCAAGGATCATCAAGGCCTTTCATTTGACGCCCTTTCATGGAAAGAAAATGGAAGGACAAGAAGGGGAGAGGTCGACCTTATTTTTGTAAAACACGCCTCCCTCCTTCACAGCACACCCAAGGTGATACACATTGGTGCAACGAAGTTTGAAGCACCTCACAGTGGCACCAGGCTTCAGGCAGACAATGCAGTTGAATGTGAGTGCCTTCTTCAGCCCTTCTTCAGTGTTCACCAAAGATCCGCTGATTGTCTCGTACACTTCTTCCGCCCACAAGGCACAGTTCAAATGCACCCATTTGTCCACATCATAGTTCAACAACCTGGTCCAAAAAAATTGGTAATAAAAGGTACAGTTGAGTTTTTATCATTCGAAACTAAATTGACTAAGTCTTTGATTAAAAACAAACCTGGCAGGTCCATCAGAGACTCCATCACCAGGTTGGGAACAAAACAGGCAGACGCGATTGTCATATGTCTCCCGTCCAGGCATCAGGCATATTCCCATACGGAACAACATCTGTTGGATCAGAGTAGAAATTACCACCACAGAAATAAAGACATGCAACAGAGACAGGAAAGGAGATCCACCTCGGTGAGTTCATTGTCTGTGGGAGATCGATACTTGGAAGTCGGGGTGAGAGCACCAGGTGCCCATGTCTTGTAACGAATCCCCTTCCAAACCTTCTGTGGAATATTCACCTGCTGATCCTCACTCTGACTCACTGACCCTGATCCTCCTCCTCCCCCACTTCCACCTTGCACTCCACCACCTCCTCCTACCCCCATTCCATTCTCCCTCATCTCATCAGGGAGAGAGTCAGGGAGCAATGGACTCCCCCCAATCCATCCCCCCTCCTGTTCAACAAATGATGCATCAGATGCCCTGGTGCTATTCTTTTAGAAAGTGATTCAAAGTGTCTGTTACTGACCATGGGTGGCAGGAATGAGGTGACATGAGGGAGATGGGAGGAGTCTTGTGTATTGTTTTCATCACTGGTGCTATCCATTTCATCTGCAGTGAACCCACCTTCCTTCCACCCATGCTCCACCACCATCTCTGCCTCCTAAGATTGAATGACCATGGACATTCACCCATAGGGCTCAAAAAACATGAATCAAGTAAGTTAGTAAGGAACAGGACAACTGGCAGATTTCCTATGCTGTTTTCTTTGTCTTAATGAACTAGGTGGGCATCTCATAAAAATGTCAACCACATGGCCTATCTCATGAGTAAATATGACTGTTTCTTGAGAACATTACCAATCCATGAGTCATACAGTGAAGAAGCAGCACCGAGATGTCGACAGCTGCAGACACTCATAGGAGGAAGAGCAAAATGCCACCTAACATGCTTTGATATTATTTTCTCTTATTCCAATGGGTTTACTCTACAGGGTGGCCCATAAGTCCCAATCGGTTATAATTAGAGCATAAATACAAAAAATCAAAGTAAACATTTTGTAATAGTTTTAAAACATTGATTGATAATTCAAAGTACAAATTACAATCATCTCGACAAATATTCTTTCCTTAGTAATCGATTACATCAGTGTGAGCTCCAGCACGTGTAACAGAGTTCAATGTAACGCCACATTTGCTTGAATGCTCTCCTCAACATTTCAGGAGTAATCATTGTAAATGCATTGCATTTGGCTGCACTCAATTCATCCACATGATGGATACGCATGCTCACTTGCTCCTTTACAAACGACAAAAGTCAATTGTCACACGTCGTCAAATCGGAGCTATGGGCGAGCCAAGGTAGGGGACCCAATCGACTATTCCAGACAGGGAATTCCTGTGACAAAAACTCTCTTACAACGACTAAGTAATGGCTGGTGCACTGAAATACCCTTACTTCTTCTTTGATGGACCTAAGCACTTGCAACAAATCAATAGTGTATGGAATTTTATCTGTCTCCATGTTCACTTGACTCACTGATATGTCTTAGGGGTGAAGAGGACAGTAACTGGATGTGCATCCGCATTGGAACCATTCATCTCAACGCCTTGGCGGATTTTTCTCAAAACTTTCATCATAATGGATTGGGACTTATGGGCCACCCTGTACATGTCAGATACAAGGTTGTTACTTGGGCTGGGACAGCTGAGGAGGACTGCAGCTTACATGCCCAGAGGAAGCCATAGAAAGGGGATGAATCTTCAGGATGAGCAAATTACATTATGAAAATGAATAGGGAGAAGAAAAATACAGAGATGATGCTTCCTCACAATGGGGGGGGGGGGGGGGGGGGGCACCCCCCCACAANGGGGGGGGGGGGGGGGGGGGGGGGGGGAGGAGACCAAGGTTCAAGTTACACCAAAAGGGATCAATGAGCTACTAAATGCTGAGAGAGGGGCTGACCTTCTTGGCACTGAAAGCCCTGTGGTCAAAGGCATACTGCATGTAGCAGGTGGAGCTGCAGAATGAAACCTGTGAATCCTCAATAGAGAGGAAGGGGAACTCAGTGACAGGCTTCACGATGGCATCGGACATGATCACCACGTCGCAGTGACGACAAAACTTGGGGGCTCCATTCACCATGCTCCCAATGTCCATGGCTGTGGAAAACAGAAGCATACCATGTAGAAGAGATACCAGGCATGCAGTGGGACGAGGAAGGGGGTGTTCGGCTCGAACCAGCAGCATCCCCATCCCACAAGCTCTGATAAAGACCCAGCTTCTGAGATGGAGGTGTGACAGTCCTCTCAATGATGTGGAAGTTGGCAGGTGGGGTGATGCCCAGGAGCAAGGCAAGCTTCTCTAGAACCCCCGAGATGTCTCCAGCCGCATCGGCCGTCAACGTGAGCGTCACCGTCACGTTGGCAGCTGAATTGTGGCATGGAAAAAGCTCACCGTGCCTCTCTTCCTTCATCTCAATACTCACTGCCTTCTCCCTCTCCTTGGAAGATGGAGGAAAAAAGGAAAAACTCACCTCCTTTTCCCCATATGATCATCAAAGATACAAGAGAAACACATACCAGATCACCATAGCATGGCATTGGGATATCAGGTGAATTGCATTCATGCTTCACCTCAATGCAATTCTTCTCCAACTCCAACTCAGGCTCCTCCACCTTGATGTTGTCTGCCTCCGTGTAGAAACTGGACAGGACTGTACATACCCAAGGCTAGGTAAGAAAAAGATAATTCACTAGAGAAGAAAAGGGAGACTGATAGAGAAACGCACTTGGGAAGAGAGGGGGACTGCAATCATCATCATGAAGAGATGAAGATGTGGATGCACTGGCAACAGAATCTGGAGAGTCTGTGTCCCTGATGACTGTTCGGGCCCACTCCAATAACGGGTATGTACCATCTGAAAGAAGGAAACACAAAAATAACTACATAAAATAACAGCTAATAGATTCAAAATTTAAAATTCAAACTCTTCAAAAATTAGATCTACTATTGCATTATGTTATAAGGAACTCTCATGAATTGAATTTCAAAGTGCTGGGGCCTACTTAGGCCAGATTAATGACCTAATGGCCACATTTTAAAATTCTTTATCATGGAAAAAAATTCCTTTCAGTGTATTACATCAAGCCATAATGTGTTCTATTATATTCATCCAAACTGAAATCACTCTTAATCTCCAGGGATAGCAAGGGCTCACTCAAAATAGACAGTGATAAGTTTTTTGATGCAACAGTGACAAAGATGGACACCACTTAGTTGACAAAGAGCTGAAGGTGACAGAAAGGGAGAGGGAATTGTCAATGGAGACATTCAAGTCTCAGTCAAATAGATGTACAGTATCTTTTCCTCCACTCTGATCCCTGAAAGGAGACTATGGGAGATGAAGATTCCCCTTATATTCCTGGTTTTGTTTAAAATAGAAGCCCTCAAAGGAAGGGGAAAAATTTCTTTTCTCTCAGTAGCATTTGGATCCTATTTCTTATCCTTAGGTTGAGCTTTACATGGATTCTGCAGGGACAATTCCTGTCTGCTTATGGAAAGCAATAATTAAGAGAAAAATGAGAAATAACTACATGCAATGAATGTACATACCTTCCTTCTTTCGGGGAGGGAATTCAGTGCCAAATAGCCCCCTCTGGCTTGATTTAGGGTTCCTTTCATTCAATGGCTGGAGATCACCAAAGGGATGCATTGAGTAATAGTCTCCTTTGGATGGGATGAATGCCTTCCCAAACTTTCCCTCTAAAACTCCTTTCCCTGCTTCCTTGGATAATTTGAAGGAAGGAGTAACTTCTGCCGGTGGCTCATTGATGGGAATCGGCGGCAGTGATCGGAGCAACTCCAGCAATGACTCCATGTATGCATCATAATCTTCCTCTACCTTTGAGGATGCCTATAGTGGAAGAAAAGAAGAATTGGTGGGATTCCAAAGGATCGGTAAGTAGAGCAACAAAGAAGGCACTAATGAACGAGACTAACCCGACGTGCACGTTTTTTCACAACTGGTGAAACATTAATTCCTTGCTCTGCAGCTTGTTTCTGCTGGATCTGTTGGAGGCGACGTTTCTTTTGATATAGCCGACGCTTCATCTTCTTCTCCTCCAAGTCCCTCTGCTTCCTCAGTTCTGCAAGTATAGATCAGTTGTTGATGTACCCCTCTATATGCCTTCAGATGACAATCTCATCATTTGGCATATATATTTCAGAGGACTTACCTTCTTCAGTTTGCGAGGAAGGAACACAAGCTGGAACCTGCAGATCCAAGGTATCAACAGAAGTTGACAGTGGAGTGGTGGGAGCAGTGGCAGATGCATGTACCGGTGACAGAGAGGACGGAATGACTGGATGAGCATAAGCACAAGACAATGGATGAGAAGTTGGGTGAGGTGTCAAGACGTGAGAAGAGACAGGGGCATACACCGAAGATGGTGTTGAAGGAGGAGTGGGTGTAGGGGTGGAGGTGGGTGTTGGGGTGGGTGTGGGGGTGTGGGTTGGTGTGACTACTTGTGATGGGATAGGATGTGGGTGGGATGGTGGAAGAATGGGAGGGTGAAGAGTTGAAGGCACAGGTGTGGACATGGGCGGAGTGGAAGGAGGCTGAGACATGGCTGGAAGAGACACAGGAGGAGGACGACATGGTGGTCCTTCTTTCCTGCTGCTCCCCTCTGTCATAACTATCTCCTCATTCTTCTCCTTCAGCTGAAATTTAAAGAACCAACTTTTATATACAGCCACTGATGTTTCCTCAGGATCCATGACAGACTAGTTTCATAGACATACTGATTGAGAGGGAATGCTTGCAGGTTGCTCGATTGGGGATGCATCAGTAGGGTTTCCTCCTGCTTTGGGCATGATGATTGGTGTGGGATGAGGGATCTGGAATGCCTTGCTGCTTAACTGTGATGTAGCAGGGTACTGAGATGCTGGAGGAGTGGGAGGTGGTGGGACACTTGTAGTCTGCAACAGCTGTTTCAACAACACATTCTGTGCTTCTTCCAGCTTGGAAGGAGACACTTCATTGCCCAACGTTCCAGCTGCACTTGCAAACCCACTGCAGTTGAGAGATGGAACTGATGCAACAGAAGTGTTTCCACTGCTGCATGTGCTAGAACAATGAGCCACAGAGACATGAGTGAGGGATGACATGTGAGTTGAAGGGATTGGTTCACTAGGGTTGGTATCCATGGACAGACCCATGGATACTGCCCCTTCACCAATTCCCTCCAGCATGGCAGCCAACTGCCCCCCACTCTGCCGTCTGTCTTTCTTTGTCTCCCTCATCTCAGTCAAGGCCTTCATCAACTGAGGAGTAGTGGTGTTAGTCGTCTGTGTAGGGAGCACCACCGGCTTTGACTCCATAGACACCATCGTGGAGGACTGAGTCGGAACAGGTGTTGAACTTGACACTCTACCCGTTCCTTCTGAGATCAACAAAGACTCTGATGATGAAACAGTTGATGCTGTTGGGGCATCATTCACCTGGGGTGGCACCGAGGGTGGAGGAGCAGGTTCAGACGATGTGGAGGAGGTGGCAGATGATGCTGAAGAGGTGAAGGGACTCCCACCTCGTAAGCCAAGCTTCACAAAGGAGAAGTTTGAGATCCTGAAGAAATCACCAGGAGGATGTGGAGCAGGATTGTTGGGATTATTTGGATTCCCTCCTCCTCCATTCATGTCTCCTGGTGGTTGCTGCTGAGGTGGCATGGGAGATGCAGGGTGGCGCATGGGTGCAGGGGAGCGAGGGGGTGGTGCCCATGGACTCCCACCTGGCATGCTTGGAATTGCTGGGCTGGCTGTTGGGCTTCCAAATGGAGGTGTTACCACTCTCGGACTGGATTGCGGCGTCTGGGGGCTCCTGAACTGAGGATAATGTTGCTGCTGCTGTTGTTGCTGTTGCTGCTGCTGTTGCTGTGGTTGTTGCCAGCCACTTGGACGCATCATCTGCTGCTGCTGTTGTGGCAGCATGGGTGGCTGCTGTTGCTGCTGCTGAAATGGATGCTGCTGTTGACTGGGCATCATCCTGACCTGGGCAGAGAAGGTGGGATTCATAGGAGGAGCACCAGCACTTGTGGCATACATCCGCTGCTGATGATAAGCAGCTTGGTTTGGATAATGATGATAGGGAGGCTGCTGTTGAGCTTGTTGCTGTTGTTGCATTGCCTGTTGCTGCTGCTGCATCACTTGTTGTTGTTGCATTGCCTGCTGTTGCTGTTGTTGAGGCATCACTTGTGGGTACATCTGATGCATCTGCATTGGATACCGTGGTCCCTGCGGATGATGAATAGGCTGCTGTTGCTGCTGAGTTTGATTGTACATGGAATATGGCGGCTGGGGACGTAAAGGAATCCCTTGATTCACCGGGGCTTGATGGTGATACTGGAAAAAAACAAAGATAATATGGAGATTTACAAAATAATTCAGAGTACCAGAGCAGTCTTGAACAACTCAGTATACCTGTGCTTGCAATTGACCCTGTGTGGGAGCAGGGCTACCAAGTGGGGAAGGTGATGGCTGGCTGGAGAGACTGCCAGCCGGAGATGGGAGTCTGAAGTTGGGTCCAGGGGAAGGTGAAGGTTGACTATTCTGCCCTGGAGAGGGTGATGGCACAGGGATGAAGGAGGGGGAGCTCAATGTTGGGGATGGAGAAGGCTGTCCCACCATTGGTGGTGTCACTGGCCCTGATTGGCATTGAGGTGCACGGAATTTCATCCCTGGCCCCAGTCTTCCACTTTGATCCATTCTGGAAAGCACATGTAAAGTATTGTACCAAAATTTCTCTATATCATAACAGCCTTAGGCAAAAATCAGCACAGACGCACCTGAATCCCTCATTGGGACTTCTCTGGGGAGGATGAATTGAACCTGGCTGCATCTCTTGTGAGGACACAGGGATCTCATGCTGGAAGAAATGCCAAAAAGTGGAGATTAGTGAAGTACACTAAGCAATACTTTTAAAATAAAGCCAAGTCAATGGACTGGAAAATATTGGGTATTAGTACAATATCATCTCTCCCTACAGCAAATCCAAGCACCATGCATTGTAGTTCCCATCACTTTTGTGAAAAAATATAACTTTAGAGCCAAAAGGATTCTGGCCGAGACCATAGGAGACCTCTACCAGTTAAAAAGATAAAAGACTAATCCTTTTCAAGGACATGATTCTCCATCACTATGGTCACAACTGCAATAAGTAATTGCATTAGGGATACCACTGGACTCTGTTTCTCTGGTCCATTCCAAATTGAAATTCAGGCAATAATCTGATACTCACCATGAGAGCAACAGGCCTCATGGTTCCTTGGAATTGATGAGGATAACCAGGATGCTGCTGTGGTGGTGGTGGCTGTTGATGTTGCAGTGGGGGTTGTTGATGCTGTAAGTGCTGATGCATAAGTGGTGGGGGGATTTGTTGTGGTGGAGGGATTTGCTGTGGTGGGGGGATTTGCTGTGGTGGAGGAATTTGTTGTGGTGGGGGAATTTGCTGTTGTGGCTGAGACTGCTGCATGTGAGGTTGAAGTTGAGGTTGAAGTTGATGCTGGAGTTGAGGGGATGGATGGGGCTGCTGAACCAACTGTGGCTGTCCCTGCTGCTGCTGCTGATGAACAGAATGCCCCATTGAGGAAGGTGCTGGGGAGATCCTCCTCTGTTGCTTCTGTTGGTACTCCTGTATCACCATGGCATGCTGGCGATTCTGCTTCCGCACTCCATCCAGCTGCTTCTGCAAGGCCTGGAGCTCTGAACAGACTCTTTCAAGTGTGGCTGCATCTGTATCCATCAGCTCCCCTCCATTCTTCCGCAGTTGCCTCTGCTTGCCCGTCAGGGATTTCCGTGCCTGTAAGGTCACAAATTTTTAATAATGGAGGAGGTGGATTTAGATGCATAAGCATAGATGCATAGGCAGTGATTCATAGGAGGCTCAGGCTCCCCAAAAAACTACACAGACAGGACTCAACCCTATCAAAAATTCATTACACATTTTTTTGTCGGTTTTCTTAATTTTGTTGAACCTGAGGGTCATAGACTAGGAAAACAATTCATCTTCAGCTTGTGATATGGAAATGAGAGACAAAGTATGTTCTAGATTTGGCAGTTTGATATGTATACCATGTGATCTGCAACTCATAAGCAACTAAAATAAGGAACTGGGAAGGTTCTTCATCCATTAGATTGAGGCTTGTAGGGCCAATTTACAAGCTAGGGGAGTGTTCCTGATTATTTACTCCTCATTCAGGATACTTGGATGCCAAGGACTAAAAATTGTGAATATCAATGAGAAAAATCTAGCTGCATAAATGACCTGCAGATCATTTACAACTTCAAGGTGTTCTAGCATATAAACATCTGACTGCTTCAAATAGTTTCTACAGTTTTTGCTGGTGCAGTCGAGGTCTTGGTTTAGTAACCTGGTACAGTTGGATGAAAACCACTGTTCTAGACCAAGCACATGAGTATAAGTAATACTGTTTCTGAGCCTCCTCATGTTTCTCAACAAATCACTGCCTATGCATAGATGGAAGGATACCCACTTTGCGGAGTTTCCCCACTTCTCCCTCAAAATGCTTGAGTTGAACAGAGAGGACCTGCTGCTGCTGGCTGAGCCAGGATTCATAAACAGCCACTTGTCTCCGTTCAGCATCAGTGCTGGGATTCTCGGGTGGTGTAGGAGGTGGTGGGAGACTCTGGAGTGGGACAGGGGGTCGAGGTGTTTGAAGGAGAGCTGTAAGAGAAGAAATCATGTGAACACCCTTATCTCATGAGCTCATAGGATTTCATTTTTACTTCATGTTAAACCCTTCAAGCACTGAGTTTTAAATTCCTGTGTACATCCTCAGGTGTATATTAAATGCACATCTAGGAAGGCTTTCACTTGCATTGTACTTTTTATTATATGCCATATAAATCTCATGAGAAAATGTGGAATAATTTTTCACTTCAGCAACATGTTATTCTTGGACACCTAATTATGAATATTTTCAAATGCTTTTTTCAATTCTTTTGAAATTCGATGCTTTTCAAGAAAGATGCTGTTTAGATGAAAGTCAACCCTTCCAAAGTGTCAGAGACTTATCAATTGTAATATTTTCTGGGAGCTCATATGCAGTTTGAAACCTTTCGCTCAGATGTGTTACAACAGGGTGAATTTTGACAAATTTATTTAAGCCTTGGAAATCCCATAATTTTGAGTAATCCACAAAATGCAGAAACTTTGAAATTGGTGTCTCCAAGTATGGATTTTTGGAAAAGTAGGATTTGATTGTTGGTTTTTTACACAATTCCCATCAGCATAACCAGTGCAAGGTATACATACATCTCCTTTCTGTCAACAGGTTTCTATCTGTGTTTTTTTCATCTTAGAAGACTTTGTTTCCTCAAAGTGGCAGCAATTTTTGTTTATTTTACACTTCTAAAAGTATCCCAGAGGTGCACATACTACTGCCAAAGAAATAAAAAAAAATAGACTGAACACAAATCCTTAATGTGCTCTATATGCCGGTCAAACCAGAACAAAAATTCATCCACAGATGACAGAATAATGTCCTTGCAATTAGGTGAATGTGGAGAACATACAGCATATGAGGATACACCCTACCAGCAGCTAGTGACTATTGTATGATGTACGTGAAAATGGCTTGAAGGGTTAATTGCCATAATGCTTTTGTTGCTATCAGACCATTCTAAGAAATAAGGTAATTTGAGTTAGGTGAAATCCTAAAGTGATAGGCGATAGTGATCAATACTACCTTTGGGTACCTGCAAGTGCAATATGCCATCAGCAAAGATGCATTAATAAGTACTGTCATGTCAGCCCTGTCTTGCAATGCCAGTCAAATTCCACTACTTTGACTAAATGATATTCTGCAGGGTATTTGAGTGCCTCTCAAATCCCTCTTTCACTTCTAGTACTGAATTTGACACACTTACTTTGACTAGTATTGCTGAATAAATATCCCTTTTTGTATCAGAGCAAAGGAAATTTCAAGGTATTTCAAAACTAATACTTTCAGGAATATCATTCTTGCAGAACATGGGCATAGCAAAGCTAACACTTAACCTATAAAATCAGGCATCAGGGTAACTGTGATCAATCTTAAGGTAACCTCTTGTTATGTCTCATTCACATGTAGACATGTAGACACATAATGCTTCATCCAATGACTGATAATTTAATGAAACCATGTTGTATATATTGCACATATTGCTTAATGTAGGATAACACCTTTGGTTTTATTATTTAATATCGAAAGAACACCTCACATGGAATGGAAGGGCAAATTTTCAATTGCAAAAATTGTATATGTAGCACAATTTTGCAAAATAATAATTGTTAATGATTAGCATGAAATAACAGCCATGCTATCTTCCAAAAGCTCACATGCACTCATGATCAATAAAACTAGATAAATTCAGATATGAACCTGGATGTATTCCACAGTCCTGCTGTACCACAGGTTCCTGGTATCCCATTGGAGGAGTCCCAAAGTTCATCTGATTGTTGCCACCTCCAACATGAGGGGGGAAGATGCCACGATTCATTTCCCCTTGCATGACTCCTGGATGGAATAGCAGAGTGCAGTTTAACAATCCCTGTCTATGCTAATGACATTTCATACTAACTACTTACTATATATCAATGACTGCATAAGTGACTATGACAATATATATAAGACTATACTAGGGCTGTCACAATGCATCAGCATCACTATTGATAGTTGGAGGCATCTATGGCTTCATCAGCCAACATGATGGTCCCATCACTCCCTCTTGCTCAGCAACTTGCCCCTTCTCTCAATAAAAAAAAAGTGGTGAGAAGCAATGGAAGGCCAACACAATGAGGGTTCACAGAATCTACGAGTGAATCCCCCTCTTCCATGGCATTCAAGGAAGGTAAATAATTTTCCAAAACATCAATGAAAGATAGATTTCTGGCCTATGCACTGATGTTTCCAAAACAGCAATCATGACAGCCCTAGACTTTATTAATGATTGTTCATAACTAAAGATGATAACAATGACAGTTCATAACTAATAGCTACACCAATGACTGCTAATAACTTTCACGACAATATTAATGACTGGTCAACTCAATGCCAGCTCATCATATCAGTCCAGTGTCCAGTAAATTCAAGGTTAGGCAAAACATAATTTAGTCAAGTCACTTTAGTTAGGTGCAGTCATGAACATCCAAAACACCTAAGTCAAACATTAGTCAACCCTCTGCTCCAATGGCATCCAGTCCTATTCATCAGCTAAGAGGAAGGTAAGGGTGAGGGTTGACTTTGGGAGTCTTTCAGAGGGGCATGCACAAAACATGTCCAAACCGGCAGACTTGGGATCTCTTGGTTCAAAGAAGTAGCCACTCAACCTGGTGGTGTGCTGTCATCTATGCCATTATCTATCTAGATGGCAGCACTCCACATCCTATCATGATTGGTAACACCTGCCACATGCCACAAGAACCTCCTCCTGACAATTATTTGCAGGTGTTAATTCATCTATTTATTGCCCACACTTCAAGGCCACAGGTGAGGCCATGGAGGTAAAAACTGCAACTGCAAAACTGAGAACTTCACCTCCTTGGAGATTTCAGACTTGGCAACCACAGTTTGTCAGAGTTCTCACAAAACTGTAGTAGCACTGGAGATGCAATAGTCAATAGCTTTCCTATGTTGCCCATCACTCGAGGAATCTGTGGATGTAATATGTAACTCTGCACACTTATTACAACTTTTGTTTTGCTGCAGCTATCTCTGAAGTTCATGTGCCCTAACTTTCAGTTTTGGACATAGAACAAGATAATCCTCACCAATGATGTCTTTTCAAGATCCATGAAACATATGCAAAACTATACACTTCTTAAAAACTATAGCATGCTCTATATGCTTCTTAAGAATGTGAGATAAAGTAATCCATCCAGCAGAAGAAGTGGATGATATTACTGTATTTAAAAACCTTCTGATAGCAGCTTCTGTGCTTTCCAAAAATATTAAATCCCTTCTCTTGACAACAGTTGCAGTTGTTACATGGACCAACAGCTGTGGATGACTGCCTAATTAATGACTACACTAATGACAACTCTGAATCAGGCCAAAAGACAGACAGACCCATTTGATGAGAGGTGGGAGCCCTGGGATGCATCAGGGGGGAAGGGCCTGCACTAGGTATGGGAGGAGGATGCTGATGATGGGGAGAGGGGAGAGGAGGCCTAGGTGAAGCAGGGGCACCAGCTGGTCCTGGCATGTGACGAAAGGATGGAGGTGGGCCTGCAGGCACCGGCATCTCACTTCCTCCTTGCTGCTGCCTCATTTGTTCCCGTCGCTCTTGTTCAACTAGATCCTCCAGCAACAAAGGCTGTTCCTGCAATTGAATGTCAGCTGCATCTTCAAGCCAATTCATCAGGCAAGTACTTTTAACATATCAACATTTGATCAAGATGCAAAAAAAGACTCATCTGCTTCTTTCCTATTTAGACTGTCCCTTACTTGGGGGTTACAGTATCTTATTTTGATCAAATAACATTTTAATTTAGAGTATGATTACTTTTTCAAAACAAAAAATTGGGAAATGAGCTCAATAAATCAATGGGGAGAAAAAAGGGGAGCGCCCAACCAATCTTGGGCCAAATTAAATCATTCTGCTTCAGTGCCATTTCTTGTCTGGTCAAGCTTGCACGACCAAGAAAAAATAAGCAGTTTTACTTTCAAGGAAATGGAAAATCAGTGATGCGTGATAACTCAAATATTTCCTACATTTTGGCTGATGATAAGCAGGAAAAAAAAGTAGCAGAAACAAGAGAAGGGGATTTATGGATGTGGATCACTTGACAGAGAGAGATCCACTGACCTGAAGGAGCAGCATTCTCTTTTGCTGTCCGTTAGTTCTTGGCGGAATGCCACTATCAGTAGACTGCAAGGCAAAAAAAAAAGAAAGAGGAGGATTTGGCATGGGAATGGAACACAGGGATGTACTAAGTTTGGAACTTGAAAGCCAAAGAAAATGACAACTGCTTACCTGTACATGACTAGGAGTGGCAGGACTGATGCACATCTGCACTGCACCTGTACCAAAATAATTTCTCCATGACAGCACTTGTTCAAAAGTAGACAAATTAAAAAATGCAGTGAAAATGTCTCACCTTGGGGAACATCTTGGAGTCGCTTTTGCTCCAGAGGCAAGGAGAGGCCATCTGACTCACTGCACCCACAGAAAAAGGAAAACAAAAGAGGGGTAAAAGGAAGTATTAGAATTAAGAACAGGGTGGGCCAAAAAAAGGACCTGATTTTAAAATGATATTATGGGATAACCATACAAGATGGGATTGAATAATAAAATGCATTAAGCAGGCAAAAGTCAAAATGTATTTTACTTTTATCTGTTGCAGGTTCAAAATGCCTCAATTAAATTTACAACAAAGAATCTTTATTGTTGAGGAGCACATCAAAACTCAATTATTAATAGTGACACAGCATGTATTCAGAAATGAGTTTCCAGGATGTGAGGTGCCAACAGCTGAGACAATATGACGAATTCTTACCAAATGAAAGGGGAAAAGGTCAGAATTCATAGTATTGTCTTTGCTTGTATGGTTACCCATCTTGTATGGTTATCTCATAATAACATTTTCAAATCGGGTACATTTTTTTGGCTCACCCTGTATTAGGATAATTAAGATCAAACACAGAAGCACTGTTTATGATTAGAGCTGGTAACTGGAAAAATCCACATGATCCAGGATTTTTTTTCCAAAAAGTATTTCCAATGTTCAAGGGCAAAGACTAGAACAACAAAAAAATTCCAAAAGTCATGTCACCCTCAATTGACATCTTGGGCCACCTGAATTTTTCAGTTTCATTAATGGTTTAATAAATTGAACTTTTCAAGAATGCACTCAATGGCAGAATGCACTCCATGGCATGAGACATATCCAAGAAACGTGGGTCTTTCTTAACTGTAATTACATTTATGTCCAAAACAGTGATTGCCAGCAGTGTTTTTTTTTGCTTTATTTTTTTACAAGTCAAATTTCTGCTGTTCTTTGTACCACAGTCTGAGTCTTGACTCTGATACAACTGAGGGCATCAAGTAGCTACTCCTTTTCTTTTGGACGAGTGGAGCAAGAAATGGCTCATGAGGTTTAATAAAAGTAAGTGTAAAGTTCTCCACGTCGGTCGAAACAACGGTAGGTCTCTCGACACGTTCGGCGATGTTAAATTGGATGAGGCAAACGGAGAGAGAGATTTAGGTGTTTCTATCGATGAGGACCTCAAGTTTTCCTCGCACGCGCAAGCGACGGTGGCCAAATGCAATAGGATTCTAGGTTACATTCGTCGGTCGGTTGCAAGTAGGACATCTCGCGTTATTCTTCCGTTGTATGCGGCGCTGATAAGACCCCAGCTGGAATATTGCATCCAGTTTTGGAGGCCTACAAATAAGGGCGATCTGTTGGCGCTCGAGGGAGTACAGAGGAGGGCCACAAGAATGATTAAGGAGGTTAGGGGACTATCATACGAGAAGCGTTTAGAAGTGTTGAGACTGTACTCGCTCGAACGAAGGTTAAGGAGGGGCGATCTCATCCAGGCTTTCAAGATAATTAAAGGAATAGATAATGTCGAGTGTGGTAGGTTTTTCCAGTTTGATGACAGCAAGAGAACGAGAGGTAACCGACTTAAGTTGCGCAAACCGCAGGTGCGGCTCAGGTCGAGACAGGAATTCTTTACTTGCAGAGTGGTGAACGCGTGGAATGCGTTAGATGACGAAGTAGTGGCTGCCCCTTCTGTGACTATCTTTAAGAAGAAACTAGATGCTTTCATGGACAGGCAAAAAGGTGGGGGGCAATGTTGACGTAGGTACTAGACAGTAAGCAACTAGGATAGTAAAAAAAAAATACAAAAATTTTTAGCTTTAAGAGGGTTAGGCCTACCCTAAAATTAAGGAACGCTCGACCTCGACACGTGATATCGAAATGGGCGAAATCGCCTCTTGATATCACTAACTCTCCTGACTCCTGACCCCTGACTCCTTTCATGAACAAATAAAGAAGCTAAATGCCTACATGGGCAAAATATATATAAATAGTGAATATTTAACCAAGTAACTTGACATCAGATTGAGAAGCTTCAACCAAAAGCACTTGTCCACAGGAACAAGCACCTGACCTTGATTTGGGGTTTCTATATGGCAGAAATGCATTGTGACATCCTAAATCAACCTGTGAATCTTGTTCTTTTATAGGTGTGAATTCTCAAAGCTCAAGTAAAAGCAATTTCTAACAATGAGATCATAGGTTTTAGCCCATGCAATTGCCCTGGATCCTCTTTAAGATGGTAAGCTCTACCTCATCATAGTATATCCAGTTTCAGAAACATCAGTTTCATAAAATCAAAATATCAATCAAATGATCTTCCAGTTACCATTTCAATTAGCTAGAAAATTCACTAACGCTGAAAGTTATTTAATATATACCAGTATATGATTGGTTGTGTCAGTGCAAACTGATACAGTCAACTCCACTTATTAGCCATTGACTGCTAAGCCCAAGAATACTTGCTTTCAAACTTCAATCCCCAAGCACCTTGTTCAAATAAACTCATGTGGGTTGAAAGTGGTAAGAAGGTATCACCAAATTTATTGGAATAAAAAGAATTTCATTTATGACCGTAAAAAGACACAATTTTCTCAAGTTACTGAAGCAACTCAAAAACCCAGCATGGAGCAGGTGCTGTGCTCTAAAACTCAGCAGTCAAAGGGTTAATGGGGCATTCAGCTTAATTGAATACCATACCACCACCAGAATAGAATTCTGAATAATACAATACAAATTTTTCATACTTCTACCCTAATGGAAGATATATGTGGTGGTTCCAAAAAAACACTATACTGTTTTCTAGGGGAGAAACACAGTTTCATGAATGCAGTAAAAAAAAATTACATTGGATACATGATAGATATTTGACAGTTACAAGGTGTTGTAATGTTTGCAAGTGTTTTTTCAGCACCCCTACCTAAGTCATGTAATGCCCACTTAGAGGTGAATTAATGTTGTTTAGAGATGGATCATTCCACCTCAAGAGAGGTGATTACCTGTGCTCGACCATCTCAGAATTCAATGAATTTTTCAACTTTAAATTTTCAAGGGACAATTGGATCCAGCTGTTACTTGGCAGAGAGGTTCAAGAGTCCAAGAGGTTTGTTTCACTTCCGCAAGATGCCACTGTATTCCGATAGAGGGTGCTGTTGTTGACCAGATGATCAAGGGTGATTAAAAAAAAGGCTCCACCATTTTCAAAGGGAGAAAGTACGATTTGGTATTCGAGTAAAAAAACATTAGATTCATAAACTCTTGATATTGGACATTGGAGGTGTTGAAAAGATTGTTTTGTTTTTTTCTATGAACACAGTTTACATGTGGAGCCTTACACCTTTTTTAAATCACCCTCGGTCACCTGGTCAACAGCAGCACCAAAGAAAATGGTAGGGCTTTTTTTAAAACCACCCTATATATTTTGCTAAAATAACTCTATTACTGGATGGTAAGGGAACTCAAACTGAAGCAAGAAGTCACTCAAATTTTCATAATAATTTACTCTTCCAAACAGAAGCATCTGTATGTCATTTTTCACTTGTGTGAATGAGATGAGTCTCATCTGTTTCTATTGAACATGGAATCACTTACCTAACGGGGATGCGACCAACATGCTCATGGCTTGCCAGGTTGTTCCCTTCATCTATGAAGAGACAAACACCATGTTCATGCAAAAGCTGACATAATGTTACATCCAGAACAACTTTCAGCAAGGAACTTACGGGGCTTGAGCATCCCTGGTGAAGATGGGGTAGTAGCAGGAATGTCAGATCTTATGGCTGTTGTCACAGTATGCATGGGTTGTGGCACTTGTGGTGGTGCTCTCCCACCTACCAAGTCTATAATATGAAGGTTAAGATCTATGTCAGCATTGTGAAAAGTTCCTGTCTCATTAGGCATATTACCATGTCAAGCTACTTCTTAGCACAAATCCTCTCCAGTGACAATATCTACTCCACAGAACATTCTCACAACACTGTCATGACAAAAAAGTAATGCATGTCTGGCCTTAATAATATATTCACAAGTATGTTATAATCAAAGTTAAATAGATGAGACCATGCATAGCACTAATGATGGACCATGCAAAGCAAATCAGTGATATTTAAAGATATGATTGCTAGGCAATTCCACAAGCAGGCTGCAACTCATGAAAACAGAAAGTTGAGTCAGCTTTGTGGTATCCAATCTGAATCAAATCTAAGGCATCAAAAACTTGGGTTTACTTATAGGGATGTATTTGCAGGCAGCTTTTATGATTCATAAGTGGCAGCAAATAAAATTAAAACTAATGGAATTTTAATAGCTTCTTAATGGGTTTTAATTAATGGCTTTTGGGTACTTTCATGTTAACTTTTTCAACAAATAAATTTCCATCATATCACTTCCATAATAACTAATACCAATTACTGCTCATACTATTTGGTCCATATTAAAAAAAGAGCCTGGTACATGACTAGTACATGTGTTCCCTGCAAATACATGGTGATCTTTAAACAGTTCCTAGTTTCCGATTCACATAACTTTTTTTGCAATAACATGTAAGTGACTATATTTGCACTGAATATGAAGGCAGCATGGGAGATTCATTTGGGCTCAAAAACAGGCATGAATCATGGGAAAATACTCAAGGAGCAGCAATGAAGCAATATGGCATCCTTCACAGAGGAGCAGAAATTGTTCTTTGTGAAATGGTACTTCAAACTAAACAAATCACCTGTAAATGTGCAAAGACAGTATCGATGGCACTTTCATACCAGCAATGCACCATCCAGCAAGACTAATACCAGACTTCTTAAGCAGTTTGAATTGGAAGGCGATGTCAGGGACTGTCAAAAGGGCCATTCCAAGCATCCAATCACCGCATGTGTACCCCACAAAATTTCGCTCTTGCCTGACGAATGTTAATCCACAATCCCAGAAAGAGCTTCTGGTGAGCTTCACAACTTGATATTTTGTATTCAGCAACATGGACTATTTTCTATGCCAGTATTTCTGCACATCCATACAAAATCCAAATGCACCAACGGGCAACACAAATTAACGTGGAAAAATGTTTTCTGTTTGCACGGAGGCAATCTTCCCAGTTATTCCCCAATTATTCGCTCTGTTTGGCACCATGTGATTAATGAAAATGGAGGTCACTTTGGACATGTCATGTTCTGATCAATGAGCCCACGTGAATCTCCCATGTCTTCCATACTTACAGTGCAAATTTGGCTACTGCAATGTCATTAAAATGAAAGTTATGCAAATGGGAAACTAGAAACAATTTTAAAAATCACCCTGTACATTGCACATCCTTATTTAGATCAGAAAGTTGGTGAGGATTATTTGTCTGGATTGTAGCTTACCAGCTGAAGGAGGAATGTGCTGGAAACCAGGTGTTGGGGGTCTTTGGGGAAGTCTATGGTGTTGACTCAGGAGCATCTGGATTCGAGGGTCCAGAACCTGCAGAGGATATGAGAGCTAAGTGTCATGGTTCAATCAAATGAAAGTAAGGGAAAATGGGAGAAACCCTCATTGGAGAGCTTGACCCTTTGAGGAGTATGCCTGTATATTTATGGGCTGACACTCTCCTGCCCTCCATATATGCCTGCAGGATTTCCCATTCCATGGGGAAATCTTGCAGGCATAAAAAAAAAAAACACTCCTCAAAGAATTAATGAGCACCAAGCTAAACAATTAAATTCCTAGATTCACCTTTAAAATTTCGATCCCTGAATCATGCCTTTTTCTTACTTTCAGAGACCCTAAGGTCATTTTTATTTAGCATTTATGGAAGAAAGAAATATGATTATCATTCCACAAGAAAGTATTGCAGTCCAATATTTATTTATTAATTCATAAATGTTTCAGAGTATAACTAGACCTGGATTCTCTCCTGAGGAGGACGTGGGGCTCTCATGCGCAGCTGTGGAGGGAGTGGCTGTCGGAAGGGGATGCCAGAGGCAGCCATAGCACTCCCAGGCTGTCCCAGATTGCTCTCTTCTCCACCTATCATGCTCCCCACTCCCACCCCAATCCCTGGGGAAAAAATTGCAAAAAAAATATGATTCTCATCAGTTTCATTAATTTGGATGAAATTTAAAAAATACTGTCATCCATTTGATGGGATATTTCTGTTGATGTGCTGAAATATCTATCCATGACAGTGATGAATGGCTTCCAGGGACCCTACATAAGCCCTCTACCATCAGCAGGTAAAAATTAGGGATTTCTCAGTGCAAAAAGAAAAACAGATAGATGGGTTCAAGGCGATTCAGCTACCATTAGGGGGTGTAAAAAAAAAAAAAAACTTTTAAAATATAATTTTCTCAAGAAAAATAGGACTTGGATGATGAAGATGTAGTGCATTTGATAGAGAATTTTTTAGACAATCATTAATATCTGATATATGCCACATCTTTCTCCATGACCTTCTTCAGCCGCATGGTCATGGATGAAGACCAAAGTGGGGTCCAAGTTCTTCCATACTTCTTTGATCACATTTGTCATTCCCATCATAGTTTTGGGTTGGCACTGTCTCACACCCTTTTGCATGATTGCCCAGAGGATTGAGATTGGGGCTATACCTAGCCCTGATCTCAATCCTGTGGAGAACCTCTGGCCAATCAGGTGGGATTATTATTATTATTAGGTGGGATATCAGACATGAGAGAACTGGAAAAAATTAGCCAGAACAGAGGTGAGAGATTTTGATAAAATTAAGTAGGGGATGATTAGTCAATTGGCAATGATATCTCACCTTGCTCTGTAGGAGTCTCATATTTGGGTTGAACAGGAAGCTGCTCAAGGGTCTGTTGAGGCAAGCATGTGGGCAGAGCTTTATTCCCTGTCCCTGACTCCTCCAGTCCTTCACCTGATCCAAAAAATATCACTTTGAATCTCTATGAAATACAAGTTGTTAGGTTTTCCCACTTTTCTCATGATGGTAAACATCACTGTGAGACCTCTTGCTTAAGGAAGGTATAGGAGTAGAACTTTTAATTAATCAGTTTTCTGAGAGCACTGACTGAAAACAATATAACTTTTTTGGTGTTACATTAAAACTCTAACTGAGGCATACTCACCAGATGAGAATGGAGATGCCTGGTTCTTCATCATGCGTGCTGCAGCCCGGTTCTCACGAGCCCTTTGGAGATATGGAGCCTTTTTATCGGTGGGGAGGGCCCGCCAGAGCTTAGAGATCTGCTTCACCCGATCTGGCCAGTCTAATATATGGAAATGCAGAGAACATTAACTCTTATCCATTTTTCCAAGAGAAATCTGACATTAATGTCAGATGGCAGCTGAAATATCCATGATAGGACATTGTTTGAGCTTCGTATTTGACCAATACTTGGCAGGAAAGTATAAGAAGATAGTCTCAACCAGTCCCAAGTCCCAAGTTTCAACTGTCTGGTTTACATAAAACACAGAAATTATATAATGGGAAAGAGGAACACCCAAGAACCTTTACAAGCATTCCTCAGTGCTGAATTCCTATAAGTGGTTGGCTTTCCAGATGAAGCATGCCCATTGTTTCTCATTACCATGAAGGTTTACTCAAAAAATGCTAGAATGATACTGAATTGTTTTAGGCTGAGATCAGTTCAGATCACAGGATAGCCTGAACAGGGACTCAAGAAGGACCCTATTGGCAGTGTGCAAGATACTTTATTTCCGTATCTCTGTATCATTGAAATTTGGTGCTACAGTTGACTTCATATAATGGAATACTCATGGGACCAACAAACTTTATTCTATAATCTGAAGTATTCCAATAATTGAAACTACTTGTTGTATCATACCATAAATTAGGACCATGCAATTATATTCCATGATGCAAAGTTGACTGCATATTCAAGAACAGAGATCCTCCTATCTGCTCATGGGCAAAAGATCTGTCTTCTATAGAGGAAGGGACAGATCTAAAATCAATGGGTGAAAGAAAAGTATATAGCTGCTGTTTTTCGCCTAAAAATTTCAACGTGAAAAGTCTTTATTTACCTTTTCTTAAAACCAATATTCCCAAAATTTGCAAGGAACTGTTCTGTCTACTTTGTATCACAAAAAATTTTTTCTAATAATTTCTAAATTAAAGATATCAGACAACTTTTTCATGACCATGAGCATCTGTGAAAAATCACCTGTGAGAGATGAACCAGATAAGACATAATATAAGGAAAAGATAACCAGTTAGAAACTTACGTGGAAATTCCTGTTTCAAGTGGGGATGAGTGAGATTGGCATAGAGGACAGCTGAGATGGTGGCTGCACTCCCTAGGGCTTCATCTGTCTCCCACTTTCGGATGTTGGCCAGGTGTTGTGATTGAGATGGGATTTCTGGCCCAATTCCTCCACCTCCTCCATCTCCAACAACACCTGCCCCACTTCCTCTCCAAGGGCTCCCTGTGTCCCCCTCTCCCAGGGTGGGACTCAGGGCTGAGGGGCTGCTGCTTGGACAATCAAGACAATCCTGCATTAATTACTGTACCACCATCCTCAAGTTTCTGAAGTGGTTCTCACAAAGTCTGATTACAATTGATGATGCACTACTGCTGTAGTGATGGTAAATTAAAAGACTTTCACAGTGGGCCAGCTCATAAAAAATCTGGGGGGAAAAGCCTTTATTTGCAAAGTGCAAAATGGGTTATGATTTTCATTCTATTCTTTTCCAAAGAGAAGGTAGTTGAGCAGAACAAAGGTTTTTTTAAAATTATATGTTCTTAGTTCTTACATAGTTCCCAGAGATCATAAAATTTGAACTTGAAAGAAAGACAAGTTCTTGGAAATTCAAAGTGCCAACTTTCAACAACACATTGCTAGATGGCATATGTAGCATATAAGAACATTTCTTGAAGTATCAGTTGAGGTAAGATCCCTTTAGGGCTACTTTTGACCCCAATGAAGGTCAGAGTAAGAACAATACATCAATGGAAAGTGCAGGGAACATCTTCCATTTCAATTATATAATTAGTCTAAATTATGCCAATTAGGTACCAATATGGTCAATGTAACACCCAAATCCAAGCCATCTTCGAGTCAGCGTTTCTCACATATTAATGATTCTGAACTCATGAAACTCACAATACATTGATCAAGTAGTTATTCAAGTCCTGATGGTTTTAGATTTTGGAAGAACATATATACAAAGAATTCTCAGCTGATCGAGCAAATGTTCCCAATTTTCCTGCCAATTATTTACCTAAAACAGCGGAAAATCAGTGCATTTGGGAAACAGTTCAGAAATGCCATGACCATTCCCTGAGGAGGAATTTGAAGTATCTTAGGCAAAAAAATTACTCATGAAGGTACAGCATCTCAAAGATTACTGTCCATGATGAAAAGCGTTTATTGAGAAAACCTGAAGTGAAAGCCTAATGAGCACCTGCCTAGTACAAATTACCCTCAGAATCCTCACATTTGTCATGAAAACCTTTTCTCATCGCTTGCAACACTTTTCTACTTTTTTGTACCAGCTTCAACCACTTTTTGGCTGAGTGGTACAAACAACTAATATCACAGTCTTTGGCACTCTCCCCTGTTAATCTCCCATGAGGCACTCCCAGTTGCTCAAATAGTCTCAAAACAGCAATGCTGCCATCATTGAAGTGACTGACAGCAGAGTAGGTGGCCTCCTCAATCGTTTTGGCCCACAAATACTTTTTAATTGCACTACTCCTTATTCTTAACTTATTCAAGCATTCATTTGTATTTTGTGCTTTGACATGCAGGCATTTCGTGAGATGCTCTGGTGATGAAAGTGAGTCGTAAATAGGGCCTATCAGTTCAACAAAATTTTCTATGCACTTTTGTGAAAATATTCTATGTAGATGGACATATCCAAGGGGCAAAGTTGTCACTAGGGAGATAATATTTTGGATGATCATCACAAATTAACCATTTTGTTAAAAATTGAAAACGTTTTTTCTCCTTTTCCAATCGTACATAGAGCAATGAAAATACTATAGCATGAACCAAATTTTTGGGAAATGATATTTTTCCTGAAAATCAACTTTTAAATGGGAGTGTGCCACCTTAAAATGTCACAAATAAAAGCCATTTCTTAACTTTCATGTGTTTGGTTCCTGCTCAATTACAAAAAAAAAGTAGTAAAAGACCTCCAGACAGGTGCCATGTGAGATATCAGCAAGGAATTCATGTCACATCTAACACATTTAGGTGATGCTAAAAAAATGTTTACGGAATTGATCCTTTAACTCCCAAGTTTCTGAAGCAAAATAGGAATTCAATTTTTGTACAGCACTTTTGAGAGCAACAAAATGAATTCTTTTGACTCATATTACATGAATATAACACAGTCATCAGGAGCCAAATTTTTAAAACAAATGTATGTTTTATTTGAAGTAAGGTGCTACCTATCCCTTTACTTCCTTTCAGAGCAATGATGAGGGATGCATTGAAAAAAGGTCTTAACTCTGAAATCTATTTTCAGGAAGCAAAAATAAGAAGTCAGTCACAACTCATGTGACGGGAATTTCAGCAAAGTCCATAAAAGATTTTAAACTAATGATTGGCAATGCTTTATTGACATCTTAGAAGGTAAGCATGTCTTATAAAAGCATCAGGAAATAGCCAATCCAAATATATATTTTCTTGAAATGTCAAAGAGGCAACTTAAAAGGCATTCTGTAGAGACCATTATGAATGTCATGAAGATTAGGTGTTTTTTATATTCATTGGTATCAACAGGAGTAAGAATAAAATATTTCTACAATGTGAATCTAATTGTCAAATAAAACCTTTGCTGCCACCAACCAGCAATGGTGGACTACTAATCTTAGGCTTCTCAGAAATTTACATTAGAAAAAATGAGACTTCTGGGTTTAACAGAAAACTTCTCATATGCATGTAACTAGAAGGGACTCACTTGTAATACTCATTGGAGGGGTAGGGTGAAGGGGGTGGGAAAGGATATGCTGAACCCAACCTCTCTCTTCCACCACCTGTTTCTTGAAATTCAAGAAAACAATCCATAAAGAGATTCAAACCAGAACATGGACAAATTTGGAACAAGTCAAGGAATGGAATGAAGTTATATGTACCATGAGGAGATACAGAAGAGACTGGATCACCAACTCCCTGAAGCACATCCACCAAACTCTCCCCTCCTGAGGGTAACCCTGGAAGTGAGATCAGGAATATTCTTTATGTGCTTTTACAAGATTTGGTAATAACCAATTACAAGTGCAAAATATTCTGGTGAGCATAGTTGTACAATATTCCTTTTCCAAGCAAATGGTATTACTCACCTGCAATATTACAATATTTTGATTTTAATGTCTTAAAAATCTGAGGCATGGAGGAATACCCCCCACCCTCCAAGCCACAGAACTCAGAATTCATGAGGCCTTGGTTTCCTATTCCCTTTCCTTGCTCGCTTAAAACTATTCATGATTGGCATTTAAAATTTAGATTGGATATTAGCACTTAGAAAATATATAGGGTTGAAGAAGGATCCACCTCTTCTTTCCCTATTTCCTAATTGTTCTGGTTTCTTCCCCTTCAAGCAAGTAAACATCCAGTAGCTATTGAAAAAACATTCACCACCCCATGTTATTTTCTGGGAACAAAGGTGGCCCCAAAAAAGTCACCAATGAGAAAATATCATCATGATAGTTTCAAATTCAAATTTCTAATTCAATTGCAATGTCATCATATTTATGGTTATGTTCTCATTTAAATGCACATTAATTCATGTCAATTCATTCTGTATTTAGAACTTGGAATTAAAGTATGGTCCAACATTCTGAACTTGCATTTTTCATTTCCAGATAGTGGTAACATATTTTTGGACTACCCTGTATATCAGAGTGGAATAGAGAAAAGAAGCAGGTTTTGACAATGACAGTCTACTCTAAAAAATTTTCATCCCCACTTTCTTGCCTCCATTCACAAGCCAGCTGTCTGATGATCACACTTACAGGGTGTGATCACTGAAAAAGAATACTAATGTTCAAACAGATGTTTTTTAAACAAAATGTAATTAATATATTAAAGTATTACATAGCCTGCCTATAAATCTTAAGTGATCATGTTGAGAGTAGAACAAAAGGCCCCAACATCATTTGCCTATCACTTTTACTCTGTTCATGATCACAGTTACCTCTCTAACTTAGAGTAATTAAAGTGATCTTTCAAGTTCAAAGGCCATGAATTTGCAGTTCTTGAGTGGATGAAAATGTCATGACTTGAAGCTAACAGTCAAACAATGGTATGTACAAAATTACTGCAGTAGAATAGTTTTCCAGTCATCTGGAAAAAAAAAAAAAAACAATTTTTTAAAATAACACTTACCTCAAATGATTATTTTTTAAATCTATTTTTTATTTTGTGACATTTGATTTTGCAATCACATTTGCATGAATAGGCTAGCAAACATTCAGAATGAACTTTCAATTACCTTTTTCTAATATCATTGATATTAAGTGGGTATGATGTACAGGGTGGCGCAAAAGTCACGCACCATAGAGGATTTCACTGTTGCACTACATTGTATCATGTTACTTTCTTTGCAAGTAACTGATGGCAGCAAAATTAACAAAAGATGAAAGGGTGGAATTAAGATATGTTCAAACATTATGTGCCCAACGAATCAAAGTGTTTTCAAGTTAATGGTGAATGATTCAAACATTTTACTGTAATTTACCCTATGGTGTGTGACTTTTGCACCACCCTGTATATTTCTGTCATGGTGGAACACTCCCTCAGTGGATTTGACACTATAAATACATGTTGTGCTATTTATTTAGTATGAATTAAATATAAACTCAATAAGTAGTAAATAGCTGCACACAGTTGCTATTTATTACTCCCAGGAAAGAAGTCCTCTATCCAGGGGTAGACTTCTGTTAAAGAAATTTCCCACTCAAGGGATGAAATCTCTGAATCAACAGCAAAGACCCTGCCCATCTTCCATAAGAGTGCAAATCAATGCAATCAATTCTTAGTAAATTTAGAAATGTCACTGAACTAGTGGAGTCAAAGTAGAAATTGGTCACAGTTTAAAAATGAAGGTGTTTTCCTCACACATCCTGGTGGAGGCTTATCAAACAATATGAAACAATTATTTCCAAAAAACATACTCACCAGGTACAGGAGGTGTACTATCCATGGACTGTTCTGGGTCAGGAAGTTTGTGGGTTGGGAGGGGAGGGATGATAGAATTTGAATTTGTGGGGATGCCCCCAATGTTGCCAGGTCCTTGAATTGGAACTGGGCTGGAACCTGACACAGGAACAAAACCAAATGGCATCTTCCTTCTCTCTGCATTCCCTTCATCTTCAGGAACAGGGTCTATGGCAAAAGAAGAAGAATCTCCTACCAGCATTTTCAAGCAACATAGGCTGTACCTGTAGCATTACCTGTATTTGGAAAATGCAATCATAATTAGGGCTGTTAGGCATTATTAAAATCACCTCTTCACAGATTCACAGATATCCCTAAGCAAAACAGGATGGATTTTTTTGGCACATCAGCAGGATGCAGTAAGCTCCAAGAGACTATGCATGACTGCCAGAAACTGTGAAATGATACCTAAAATTCTTTAAGATAGCTCTCATACTACCCTGATTTTGCAATGACAAATTTCAGAAACTAATGTTTTTCTCACCATTAGTGATATTAATTTCAAAATCTAAGTTTTCCACTTAGCACAATGAGGGAAAAAAATTTCTTCCAAATCACTCCATGTTCAAAAATGTCAATCCTCATCGAGTCATTAATGACTAATGAGTTAAGAAATAAAATTCAAAATCAAAACATAACAAACATTCCATTCTGCTGATGTTTTCATTTCTTTAACCTTTCAGGTGTTAAGGTGAATATATCTGTCCACACTGAACTGGTCCACATCTACTAACAGTATATGTATCAATTTTCTTCCAATTAATTTAAAAGAATATTTCAAAAGAACAGAATTTATTACTGAAAATTAGAAAAAAAACCAAGCATGTACCTGTTCCACAGAAGATTTATAAGTGATAACCAACAAGTTACAAGCATTAGTAAGGGTTATGTTTTGTCCAAATCTTCCAGCTGGTCCTGCAAACCCCTCACATGACCAAGTCACAACCCTTGTAAATACCTGTAGCTTGTAAATCTTCTGTGGACCAGGTCCAGTTGAGAGGTTAAAATAGATCATCAAGGAAAAGTCTTGTAAGTCTTGAAAATGTCTGTTTTGTAAGCCAAAAAAAGAGGAAGAAATGAAAGTTAAATTATGGACATGACAAAGAACAAACCAGAAAGATGGGCCAAAGCATCATCAGCATGACCATCTTGGAGGAGGGACTGGATGATGTCATCTGAGAAGAGGTCCGCTTCTCCAGCAGGCAATGGTAGAATATCATGAAGGGCATCTCCATCTTCCTCCTCTCCTCCCTTTGGAAGGGCAAAGAATCAGTTATGATCAAATTGTTCAAATATCTGGCTCAGAATGTTTTCTCAAGGGATATATAAATTTTACTGAAAAAATGTCACACTATCACTAAGAGAAAAAGGAAATGGTATATTCATGTATTTCTATATATACATAAATATGTATACTTTGATCTTCCGTGGGAAGGCAACAGTGGCAGCAGCAGCAGGAGGAGCAGGTGGAGGGGGAGGGGGAGGGGCGGCAGCAGCGGCGGCGGCAGCAGCAGCAGCCTGCTTCATTTTGAGGGCTTTCTCCTCTTTCTCCTTAGCCACTTTCTGCCTCAACTTCTCCCTTGACTCAGCCATTGCCTTAACTTCTTCCTAGATGGTAAAAAAAAATTCAAGGTGTAAACAGAAGATAGGGCATTCCACATAAAATGTAAAGAAATCAGAAAATTTGTTGCCTAACTGTAATGGATTTTCTTGATAAAATTCAGGCTGTTTGGTATAAAACAGAAACTCTTGAGAAAGGCTTTCCAATTATATGCAACATAGATAGTAAAGTCCTTCTGCATCCCAGTAACCATTGTTCTTCCCAATTCAGCAGGCATGAGAATCATATCTTGTTTGAATGACTCCCAGATGGCTTGCCTGCTGTTCATTTATTTCACAATGCATTTTTCTACTCTAGACCTTGAGTACCAATTGTGCCAAGCCCATGGACATATTTTAATCCACTAGTTGAAATATAATAACATCCATGATGACAATGAATGCAATTGGACATTTTCATCTTCCAATGTAAAATTAAGTTCTTCATATCACAAAAATTAAGAAAACAGTATACTTCAGAATGCTTTATCTCATGAGAAGAATAAGTCTTCAGAAGCTATGTTTAGAATGCATGTTTAGAATTTTTCTGCTCAACATCCAGAAATGTTGCTGATAACAATGATAATGACTAACACATATAATCAAAATCTAAAAGCCTTGTGCAAGCTGTAGACTGTCAAAGGCTAAGAAGGTAATAACTTTCATTCAATGAGTGTCACTGCAGATAATGATAAATGGCATTAATGATGTTCGTAAATGGGAGTCAACCTATTCCACCCTTTTTATGACTTTGTACACATATCTCTCATCCCTGAAACTTCTGCTTATTTTGCTCAGTGCCTTGCTCCTTTGGAGGGTAATAAAATCTGGCCTGTTTCAATCAACTCAGCTGACAATTGATAATCTGCTTTTACAGAGGTCCTCCAGGAAGACCTTTATGGTACTACATAGAGGTTCAGGATATTGACTGTATAGACAGACAAGCAACTATGTGCAATTTTTTGTGGTAATCAATTTATTTATTTGAATGCATTAAATTTCTAACCTTCATTCAGTAAGACAACAGCTTACCTCACTCAGGTTTTAACCACTTCTCACAATACCTAAGAGCATGAATTTTTCAAGAATATCCACAACAGTTCAGCACAGACTCTGGAAGCTTGGACATCCAATGGTACAAAAGATGAAACTAGGAAGAAATCATGTTACTATGGTGGAGTTCCATTATCATCATTATTATTTCTTGATAATGTTCACCTCAGAGAGTGCGATGATTTGCTCTTCAGATGATATTTGGAGATGTATCTCTGGAGAAGCAGGTTCCCCAAAGTCATCCTCTGGCTTTATGACAGGAAGGAACTCCAACCGCTGCACACCTCCAATCCGACTCTCCTCCACCACAGCTTGGCCAAAGAATGCCTCCTGCAATCAAGCACAAAGCATTATGCAATCTCATCTCATATTCCTTCATAAAATGTGACCTCCCCTTACCCATTACTAGCCATGAAATTATGAGTTTCTGATTCACAACTCATTGGCTCAGTAACTGACTCCAAAACTTGGTGTATCAACAACAGAACCAACACAGTCTTCACAAACAGCAATACTTTTGAAAATGAATCAGTTTATATGTCTCCATGTTTCTTCCTAGTTCTCCCTCTACTTCAAGCCATGATTTCTTTCCTTCCCATCACTAGGCATACTCCAGTATTATAGCTTTGTTACATAAAAAAAACCCGATATTTTTCATGGAAATTGACTTTTAAATGCGAGTGCACTACCTTAAGGCATCTAACCTCTTCTTAAAGCTAGTCATGGAAGGTGCAGTCACAATATGATTGCCTGATGCATTCCACATTCACAACACTACCAGTGAGAAAGTCATTCCATGACCTAAGTCTCACATGGAGACTTCACAATATGAACAAAATCTCCTTGTACAATTGTTATCAAGTCAAAAAACCCTGCTGCACTCCATGTTATTGATTCCCTCATGCACACTGAGATTTTCCACTTCTTTAAGCATGTCATATTTAGCCTGCACACTCCCAGCAGCCATGAAACTCATCAGTCACCTATGAATGTAATAATGGCCTTCATCATCCCCTGATTACAGTCAAGAACAATTTATACCATCATCCAGCAAAATCTCTCAATCCTACAACTCACATTCATGTAGCACCAAAAAGAAAATGAGTATTAAAATATTCACCAAAAAAGGTTATTACACTGTCTTTGGAAAATTTGTCACCATGCTCCATAAAACTTGTGAAATTCCAAAGCCCTTCTCCCAACATACATCTTCTCTTTGTGCTTGGTCATAGACAATGAGATAAAAGGCATAAAGAGCACAAGTGATGCAAAAGTCTTTTTTATTTTATTTTTAAATTAAATGTATGTTAAATGCTTAAATATGAAAAAAAAACAAAGATAAAAAAGTTTAGTACCTAATCATTGCTTGATAATGTTTTATAATCAAAATAGTGATGAGAACACAGCATAAAATTTCTATCATGTGTCTAGATTTTCATGGAATATATTTAATAAGCCATGCAATATCTTGAAAAGTGCAGTCCAGACTTACACCACTTATGCACTAAAAAATTCATATTATGGTAAAAAGCTGCAAAAAAAGATGAACAACAATAGCAAACCTGGATGTAGGAGGGATAAGTCTCAAGAATTTTGCTCTTTGGCCGGAAGTTTCTTCGAGGTTTCTTCTTGGGTCGGTCTTCATTATCACCACCTATGATATCACCTGGATTCCCAGCTCCCAGCTCTTCTGTTTCCCTCTCCACATCAGGTTTCTTCTGCCTAGCTGTACTTTTTGCATAAAAACCTCCTATACCTGGAATGATACAATTTGACATGTAGCATTAGGGCCAAACAAAGGCAAGGAACTTGACTTCTTTAAAATGTTTTTAAAAAACCTAAAATGTTTCATGGTGTCAAACAGGAGACAATGGAATTCCAAAAGTTCTTAGCCAGAGGCACTTTCAGTTATATGAAGTCCTTCCTTTTTCCAAACATTTACTTTTATGTGATCAAAAGTAAATTAAATACCAATCTCACAGTCTTTGGAATTTTGATTTGAAATTCTGCTCACAAACCCAAATGAAGTCACCCTATAAAGCCTCCTAAATTTCATCAGAATCACCAGCCTACTATCAGATTGACAAAACACAAAAGATTAAAGCTTTTTTTTTTTTTCAACCACTGTGTACATTAAAATACCTTTGATTTTCCTTCTGCCATACATTACCACCAATCTTGGATGTGGCTTCAGAACTTACAAAAAAAAAAACTGCTAAAAAATTCATCACACATTTATGCCATTCAGTGAGAGGTAGGTGAGGGGGGGGGATGGAGGAAGTTCATTACCACTTGTCCATTTCTCGGCTTGTTTCCTGATAGAAGCATCCCAGAAGCATCTTTGTCCTTTAACAGCTAATGGAGCAAAAGGTGAAACCATGCTTCCTGCATCTACTAAGATCGAGATTGGAAACACTGGTGATATCAAGAGGAAAACAACCCAGACAACTAACTCCTCCCAGACTGATTGAATGTTTTTGCCCCTGAGGCCAGATGCAAAGATGCCAAGAGTCATATTCTTTAGTCTTCCGTGGTTCAAATGAAGAATGAAAAAAAAGGGACCAACCAAGATTGCGGAGGTTGCGGAAGCGCTTCTTCTTCATCATGACAATTCCCCCTTCACCTTCTACAAGGACATATCCTCCGGGTAGATCCTCCTTTGAGAGACCCACCTGGGTTGCAGGCATTACTCTGCTGTGCTCTTCCTCCCCTATCATTCCTTCCAGGTTTCCTGCATAGAATAAATTAACAGCATGACCTAACTTTTTCCAGTAAATAAATGACATAAACTTACTTTTCCTTTTGTCACAAAAGCACCTTGAAGAGAGAACTAAACATAAAATAGATTTTTTCCACAATAAGTCTCACTCTATCATATTCCCACAGGATTGAAATTTTTAAAATCCATTTGTATGACATTTATACGAGGGTCACTCATCTCCACATTTTAGAAAATACAAAGTCGTGGAAACAGTTCCGGACTTGCCACCTCTACTTTCCCGAGAAGCACAAGCATATAGGAACGTACCTAGGATAACCTGAATCCGCCCCGGAATAGTCCCTGAACACGAGGAATAGTTACCTATGTGGCAGAGTTTCCAAGGAACAGTGTAACCAGAGAGATCAGCTTCCAGTAGCAAGTCCTATTGCATACTACCGCAGTTCCAAATCGAAGTGAGAAATTTGAATGATGAGAAATTTTAAACTTCCTGTCGCACGCTCCAAATGCCATCTGGATGTTGCTTGAACGGCGGAATATGGTTGCTATTTCTCGGAAACTGAATGCGCTTGCTCAAGGATTTGGTGCCTGTCTCGATGAACGGGGATTGCAGATTTCATTTCCTGGTTAGAGTATCACTCGCTTACAATTTGCCCGACGCAAAGGAATTTGTCACTTCTGCGTTAATTACTTAGGTGATTACTCATTTCTTCCTTGTGGAAGACGATTCCTATTATCGGATCCTTTATGTTTTAAACATTAATGGGGTTGGTGTGGTATATTCAATTGACAAAGATCATCAATTGCATGAGTACTACTCGTGTTACATGAGTAAGATTGGTTCTTTCGGAGAAGATACCGCTTTTGTTTGGAAATTGCAGTTGACTGTGATATTGTGGAATATCGGGTGGGGGGTAAAAATAACGCGACGAAAAAGGGGGCCAGCACAATCAATGTCATCGGGAGAGAACGTGTCCAAACACGTTGGCGTGAATGATTCTTCCTTCCGACCCTATTGATTTCNGAAAAGAAATCTAATGCGCTACCACTTTGAACAGACTTGAGCCACTGAGCTCGTATAGTGGTGGGGCACTCACGAGACCTGTCGAGACATTTCACAGCAGGCACAGGCCTGTTGCTCACCCCTTTCATATTCAGGTAGATAACTTATTGAGTGGCCCTCGAATTAGTAAATTTTCCCATGTGGCCTCCAAGTACTAATTTCATCTCTAATTGGTTCAGCATCTTTATCAATATGAAAATGGATGGTTGGAGATATGATTATTGCTCAATTCTTCTCTTGGACTGGAAATATAATCCAGCTAAATGCAAAAACTACAGGATCAATTTCAACAACTGATGGTCTCATTATTCAGATATTGCTTCATTATGTCATGGGTAGCGATTTACCAGATAGGGCTTGGCTCAATACTGGATACAAGGTTTCCTGTGGCCTGTATACAGCAGTATCAGGAGCTAGAGCCATATAATTGTGCATTAAAGCCCTGATATATAGATATACCATTAGTAGATTATTGGTTAGTGAACTCTGAAAACAGCTACTACCTATAATGGATTTAGAAATGTTTATAGTCTTTCCTGTATAGAGACTACGATCCTCCACTCACAAATTTCACAATTTAATAATATACATAAACATGTTTCCTCTTGGGAATGCAATGCACTTCATCTCTATATCTTTGGCCATTCTTTCAGGAAATTTATTTAATCATGATATAAATATACAAATATACAGCATTTAATCCAAATTCTGAAAGTGACCTGATTCTCAGATTCAACAATAAGATTCAACTCTTTAAGTAAAATATTTAGGACTTGGACTCAAGAATTGATAACGGATTTTTCTCATCACTTCCATGTAAGGAAAAAGAGAGATTTAGGAAGAATCAGATGGCTCTAGGTGTTGCTAAGCCACAAAATGCTTGTCCAAATGAGATGGCTCAGCCGAACAGCCAGAAGATATATGAAGTACTATGTGCTCACACCAGAACACCACATAATGGATTGGTATAGTGTACAGTACTGATAATGACTGAAATGAAGAAACAAGTGAAACATAATGCAAAATTCATACCTCAAAAAAAAAAAAACACTACAAGCCACAAACCTTCTTGAGGAGAAAGTAGGGGTGGTTGAGATCCAGTGACAACAGACTCAATTGCAGCCAGGATCCCTGCCTCAATGTCCTGCATTTTCTTTACTGGAGACTTTCTATTTTCCATGATCTCCTCAAGAGGTGAGTTCACATTTTCAATTAAGGCATCCTTAAGGCATTTGATCATCTGCATCCCAGCTTCTGACAGCAGCACATTGTCTTGCTTGTATGTTGCATTGCTTCGCAAACCCGTGAATATATCTGTTCAATAATGGGATAATTTTGTTAGCACCATTTGTTTAGAACTGTCCTTAGAATCATAATTTAAAATAAGAATGTAACTTTTGAGCAAAAATCAATCAATTTTACAGAAATTGCAAGGATCAAAAGAACACATTTTCACACAATACAAACAATATTGAACTCATGGGATAGGGAGAGAGAAAATGCAAAAATGTTCTGGCATGTGTATGATGAAATGCCATTGACACACCTGGGCTGCAGGGAGAGGTGACATACTCAGGAGGAGATTCAGGGATGAGATGAGGTGGTGGAGCATCACGAGGCCTGCAGAGAATACACGTGTATCCTTGGCTCACACACTGCTCAGCCTCCTTCTCAGATCGAATCAGGTCACACGAGGCATGAAGCCATCTGCAGCACAACCCAGACAATCCAACTCATATCTAGAACCCATAATCATAAATTTTTTAACAAATGCCTCACATCATTGCAATTCATTATGGTAATGTCCTGGGTGTCTTGGGGAAAGATCTCCTAAAGTGCTGGCATAATCAAATACTATGCAGTGGGAGAAGGTGACTTTTCTGTCAGTCACAAAGAGATACCATTTCTACCAAAAGTTTTACTGCTTGTTTATATACTTCGAGGTAGTTTTCCCATATGCAGTGGTAGTGGGTCCTTCTGTACACAAAAGGCACATAGCAATGGGCAGAGAGGGCATTTTCAGCAGGACCCTGGCAATGGAATGTTGGTTGGTTCTGTGCTCAAGGACAAGCAAGAGGAGCAAATGCATAAAATCATGTGCAAAAAAATACAACAGGAATATTTAATGTAATACAGATAACTTTCTGAATCTTGTTTTATATTCATAAGTATTGGCTTCACAATTCCAATCATTTGCATCACTGAAGCCCCAATTCTCAACCTAAGGGTCACAACACATTCCCAGGTTGATGTGAGGTTTTGGTGTCAGTTGCCTAAGGCCAAGTAAGCAAAAAACAAATGTTTCATTGTAATCAAACATGGAAATTTTCAAACCAGATTCCTCTATATTGGCTAACAGCCAATATACAGGTCATGGAGCCTTGATTAAACAGAATAAGGGTTGCTCTGTCAAAATGGTTAGTAATCACTGCCTTAATCCTCCATGCCATGGAAACTCAACTCAGAACTTTCATCCTCTGGTTTTCCTTATCCTCCCCTGGGTTCTTTTGACAAGCTGCAGATGCTCACTGAATCTTTTTTTAAGCAACAAAATGCTCAAAAAACCAGAATCCAATGGGTTAACATGAGCCTTTCATCATTCCCCTGCTTGTCATTTGTTCTGAGGTAAACTTGAAATGCAAAATGCCAGTAAATACAAAGAAAAAAGAAAAAAATCTTATCTGTGATCATAATAGAAAAGAGGTGTGCTATAGAATGGTGAAGGCTGTAATGTCTTCCAGAAACCAGATAACATAGGCTCACTTGATTTCCTTTCATCACAAAGATATCCAAGTCCTCCTCAACTCCTTCACTGACATACAGCTGGATGCGTTATCATCTATACCAGGGGTGCCCAAAGTGCGGCCCGCAGGCCGCATCCAGCACACAAAGTGCCTTAGAGAACATCCACTTTGGGCACCCCTGATCTATACCATGTAACAATCCACTTTTGTTCCAAAAATGCCTATTGCTGTTGCTGAAACATTTCTTCTTGTATACAGCTAAAAAATCATTTGTAGATTAATGGGAATGTTCAGGAGCCAGTTGATCATATACTGACCTACTGCAATGGGTACATTGAATGACGAGATCCTGGTCAATGTATGAGCGATGGCACGCAGGGCAGATGTTCATGGAATGGCATGGCCCACATAGGGTATAACTGCTATGCCACTGGGAATTAATCCCAGGGGAATGAGAGCCACATTGGTGGCAGATGGCACACCACTGACACTTCCATGTCCCCTGTGGCACAAAATCAAGTGGTGGGTCGAGGCAGTAAGTGTGGTAGGAGATGTCACAATCATCGCAGAGAAGGAGACGCTCCTCATCATGTGGCTGACCACAACCTTCACAGAATGTGCAGTCCAGGCACCGCCATCCCTTCTCCAGTATCACCTTGGAGACCTGCATGCAGCCATTTAAGTATCATTTGAGTAGTCTACATCTGGAGCATATAACATTGTGATCACTCTCACCAATTTATTTTGTCTGCATCAACAAGCTCCATAAAGTGATGCAATAACTACACGAACACTTCAACTATGACAATACTTACTGTTTCTTTGTGTTATGCTTACATTTTAAAGTACTGCTCACTTCTGCACATAAGTGAAGGAGATATGTTTAATTGATGGCAATAATGCAGTACAATTAGAAACTAGATGTACCACAAGATAAAGGATATGGATTAAGGATTGAACAGTCCCTTCTTCAACTACTGGGTATAAAAGCTCTCCATTATTAGACTGTTAAAACTCTCTCCAAAAGAGCTTACTATAATTGAGCTAAAATCATCCCATGAATGAACAAGCAACATTATGCATCTTTCAGTCCCGATACAATTCTCAGAATGAAATTTACATTAATCACAGCCTATGAGGATAAATAATATTCAGCATCAGGCTTTGACTATTACCCTCATAGAACAGTCCATTACTCACACCTATGGCAAAAATATCATTGATTGGTGTTCTGATATCTGTATCATGTTGCCTAAAGTCTACTTAATTGGAGACTTGTGGTGGTGAAATTCAAATTGACTGGCCAAATCTGGACACAAATGACCACATTGAGCAGTCACTTGACCCCTCAACCAACAAGTTTTTAACTGATTGGTCAATAACCCTCCTGAATGACAAGAGAAGTGATTAACACATGCACAAGAAGGAATACTTCATTAACCTTTTCCCTGGCAGGAATACCTAAATTTTTCAATTACACCGATGCCAGGGAAAGGGTTAACCCCATTGGCATTTGACCCAAGCCTATCTCAGGGTACTGGTTCCATGTAAATAGCATTTGACCCAAGTGAGTCTCAGGCTGAAGCTAATTATTGCTTCCTGTAATGTTAGACCAGTGTTTTTCCATACACAATTGCATGAGTGGACTTAGCACAACATCTATTGGGATAAAAATTTCTGAAAAGTATGAATTTGATTTCTGACCTGTTGTACTGTTTATATGTGCTACATGTAAGGCATTAAAATAATAATGAATAATAAATGCATGGATTTTCAGCAGGAGTATACAGAGAGTATGAAGCTAAAATACCTAATTTGACAGAAAAAATGGGAGTTTTTTTTTATTAAATGGGAAAATGAGGGTTTAGCTGAATGCTAAGGGGGTTTAGCTGAATTTTTTCTTCTTCAGGTCAACCCTGTATTTTCAAACCAAATACCTAAAATGGCATTTGAGTCCCAAGATGGTATGGAAAGAATATAAAATCTGGAAAGAAGTACACACTGGCTTTAAAAAACTTGGATGATAAGGATTCAAGTCCAATGCTGGTGATGAATGCCTGAGAAGGTCATCTAAGTGATGCAGTTATTAATGTCATCAATACTTACTAGGTACAGACACAATGGCTTCTGCCAGTTGATATTCTGGTATATAAAGTTCAATGCACTGGTAACAGTAACCAGTACTTGCATTGTCCTATGCATCAAGGTGCTTGTGAAACATCATGAAATTATAAAAGCTGACCTTTCTATATATGAAAACAGGAAATGTGCCATGTGCTAGGGATCTTCAAGTATTTTCACAATCAAGGAGGGAGGAGGGAAAGATATGAGAAATATTTGAGGGTGAAAGCAGAGCTTTTTACTTTAATATAATAAAATAAGTTACTTGGAGAGCCTCAACAGCCTCTGGTGAATAATTTTAGTAATCCCAAGACTGTTTGACAACAGGCAAAATCATGTTGTATGTCTACTAATAAACACAGGACAGGCAATTAGGAATTATAAATAAGTAATTAATAATTAATTCCTTGGGTATATATAAACCATGGAAGCTGTGCTTTACCTTGGTGTTGATACAATATGGATGATAACACTGGCCACATTGGGCACATGCAATGAGACGTGCCTCTTGGTCAGTGCCAAATGCCCCACACATTACACAGATATCCTGGGTAAGGGAAAACTTGTCATCTGATGCCACCAAAATCAGCTTGTTCTCTTCATTGGTCTCCGGGAGTCCACTTCCCATGTCTTCCAATGTTGGCCTCTGTACACACACATGTACACCAAAGAAATGTCTATGAGGACATCAGAGTTCATGATGTTGCTGTGTCATGAAATGGCACATCAGTGACTTGCCATTTGGAATATCATGCCTCATGCATTTCATGAAGCACATACATTTCAAATTTCAGCCTTCCATTCTTGTTCTAAAAGCTGGAAGTCCACTGAATCATTAGTGCTATATAATGTAAAATGAAGCTTAAATCTTTAGCCTCTAAACTAAACATCACACATTAAGGGGGAATTGAGTTACAATACACTTATTCAACTTCATGGAATGGGAAGAAACAAGCACCCATGTCCATGCAGACACTTCTACAGGCAGGATTTCTTTTACTCAAACCCTTGAGGAAGAACCCAGAGTCCCTGAATAGCTTGTATTACAAAGGCCTGCTCAAGGAAACACCTTTGCTGTGTATCCTAACATGCTGTTTAATGTTTTGTTCCTATTCTCATTCCTTTTTAGATTTTCTTTACAATTAGACTTTTTTTTTTATTATCTGCTATCAGCCCTTATACCTTTATGCTCCAATAAGAACTTTAGAGAGAAAAACTAGTTCTAACCTGGAGGCCAATTCCAGGTGCACCAAAGAGGCCTCTCATCTTGGGTTTGGGTTGTCGGCGCCTGTTCAGGCCAGGAACTCGATTCTTCTTATTGCTGGTAGAGCTGTGTGGGGATGCAGTCCCTTTGGATCGCTCTTTCTTTCTATGTTGAACAGTTGTGCCAGAGGGAAGAGTTGGTGAGAAAAGAGGCTTCCCTCGTCCGCCAGAACTTCCTTCCTCCAGTCCGGGTCCCTGTCATCAGGAACAGGTTTTAAAGGGAATAAACAGCTAATATTGTTACTTTATAAGATGTTATATCAGGAATATTACACACGACAGTTTTATGGATCAGCTCACCTTATCTGACTGGCTGATGTCCAGTTCCAAAGGATTGTATGGGTCAAAGGACGAAGATTCTCCAGTCCCAGAGTCCATGCTTATTTCAAGGCCACCTGCTTAAAACAAAATTCAGCAATTACAACCCCAAAAATTGGCTTATCTGTAGGCCCTTTTAATAAAACCAAGAGATATTGACTTTGACTCTGCCTCTGGGATTTGAATACCAGACAAGATGAAGATGAAAGGAAAAAATAGGACTCACTTGACTCCTTAGCCTTTTGTGGCGTTCTGCAAATGAGGCACCTGAATTCTTCTGCAGAACATTCCTCAAATGTGGGATCACAGCTACCATGCACATACCTACAATATAGAAAAACAAAACATAATATACTTTCAAGAGTTTTCCTCAGGAAGTGCACTACCATAAACAAATACATTGAAATGTTGTTAATCAAGAACTCAGGCAACTCAAAGATTGTCAAGATTTGTCAATCCCTCTTTCATCCACACCAATGAAACAAAGCCTTGAAAACAAAATCAATCACACACAAATGGAACAGCACCAATTAAACTATCTGATTGGAAAGAAAGTTCTCGGAATTTCATGAACAATTATTACAACCCAGTTTATTTAAAAGCAAAATCATCTCAATCATGAATGTAACCACCATTGGCCTCTATCACTTCACGCCAACGTTTATGCAAACTATGGATGCCATTCCAATAGAACTCTGGCGGCTGCGCTACGAAAAAGTTGGCCAAATCGGTTTTCAGGTCGTCTTGGTTGGCGTACTGCTTTCCACCCATGTGACGGTCCAGGGCAACGAAAAGGTGATAATCGGACGGGGCAAGGTCGGGGCTGTAGGGCGGATGCGGCAGCACCTCCCAGCACAGGTCCAGTAACTTTAGATGAGTCTGTCTAGCGGTGTGCGGCCGGGCATCGTCGTGGAGGAGGATGGTTCTCTGTCTTTCTGGGCGTGTTTCAGCCAGTTTCTGCTGCAGCCGATCGAGTTGCTGGCAGTAGTAGGCAGCAGTGATGGTGGTGTTTTGCGGCAACAGCTCAAACATGATGATGCCTTTCGAATCCCAGAAGACCGAGAGCATAATCTTTTTGGGGTGCAACTCCTGACGGGGTTCTCTTTCGGCCGATGCTCCGGCGTCCACCCACTGACGTTTTCGTCGAATGTTGGCATAGAAGGTCCACTTTTCGTCGCCTGTCACCACTGAGTCTAGCCAATCCGTTCGGCGCGAACGTGACAGAAGGGAGATGGCCATGTCTACTCGTCGCTGGCGGTCCCGATCATCCAGCTTGTGGGGTACCCAGCACCCCAACTTTGCCTTCTTGCCAAGCTCAGCCAGATGATGAAGGATAGTTGTATGGGAGACACCCAGCAAGTCCGCAAGCTCTCGCGATGTTTGCCGGTTGTTGGCCTCCAGTGCCTCCTGCAAGGCAGAGTTATCAAACTCCGAAGGACGACCGGTGCGTGGCTGGTCTTCCAGGCTTTCATTTCCTTTCTGGAAGCGACTGTACCAATCATAGGCAGTGCTCTTGGACGCAGTGTCCGGGCCAAACGCGGTATTGATGTCAGCGATGGAATTGGCTGCCTTCTTCTCGATTCGGAAGTCATAAAGAAGAAGCAGGCGAACTTGCTCCTTAGTAAGAGGGTAGGGCTGGTTCATGGCTGGAGAGCACCAGGGCTGTAATAATATACGGTTGTATGCCGAAGGACACGACCTACTTATAAACACACGCAGAACATTCTAGCATGCTCTGGAAAAAAATTGTACTGGATATTCAAGAAATTCCGAGAACTTTCTTTCCAATCAGATAGCTCAAAACTTATGCCTCACACCTGTGAGGAAAACTGCTTACTATGTCATGTTATATGGTTTCACACTTAGCAAATGAATACTTCTACATACAGAGAAAAGAGGGATTAACAAAAGGAAGGGAGTTGTAGTTCTTCATTAACCCTTTGCACTCCACTGTCACGCACCATGTGCCATCACAGTGCTGCTTATGTCACATGTGGCACAACAGTGGAGTGCAAAGGGTTAATAAATGGGTAGTCCAAGCAGGTACAGAAGGTGACATTGGAAGGGAATGCAATCTACACAAGAGCAGAGGTTGATGCTGCAGGGCTGTTCATTTAATAATAAGAATGCAACTGTATCATGTGTTAATGAAGTGCTGGCACAATGGCATCCACTTGGGGGGAGACTACTTCGAAAAGTATATAAGGATATATAATTTTATTCCATCTAGATCCTTTAATGTTCATCACATAGCCTCCTTCTATACCAACAATGTATACCCAACGTTGGGAAATTACTTTTAATCCCTCCCTTGGATTGCTGCTATTGTTGTACGTTTGCTTTCTTCTTGATGCCATGGGTAACAGTTCACTGATCAGCTATAACATGAAAATGCATTTCGTCACCTAAATTGAGGCATAGCGTTACTCATTAACATTCCTTGACTTGCAGATAATAACAGGAGTTGCCATGATCATTTTAAACTGAACTGTAAATATACAGGCACACTACAGTGCATGAAAACCTCAACCCATAAATATACAGGCATACTCCTCAAATTGTTAAGCATGACATTTCAAATTTGCATTAAAATTTTTTTACTGCAAAATTGATGGTGCAAGGAAATTCATCATCACCTAAAGGAAGTCTTGTTGGACAATGCTTCAGGTGAGTGTTAATTTCCTTGCACTATTGGATTTGCAAGAAAAAAATTTGATGATGGCTTGGAAATCCTGATAGGAAAGTTGCCATGCGGTTGTTCCCAATTCATTTAGAAAAATCACTGCAATATAATAGTTTTACCAAAAATTAATGAAAATCTGCCTTTTTGCTATATGCAAGCAGGGTTATTCGGGATTATTGGCAAATACAACTAATATATTGACTGACCCTTATACACTTTCTCACAAAAGAAAGTGAATTAAACCATATTTGGAACTTATAAGCCATATAATAGTTGTCACAAAACAAATCATTCAAGGGAATGATTGGGGTTACCTCTTGCAACCCGTGCAAAGCACCATGTCCTTGTGCACATCCTTCCGATAAGCCCTTCTGCAGACAGGACAGCAGGAGCCTTTGTTACGCAGCTGGTAACAAGGATCACAGATGGTGAAATAGGAATGCCATCGAGGGGTGTTCCCTGTCCCTGGGGTTCGTTGCCCACAGTCACTGCATACCCGACAGTTCTAAAATTGGAATAAACCATAGGGAATAAGCCTTGTAACAATTTAAGCCCAAATGTGAATACCTCATTTGATGAGTGAGATAGTTGCCTTCAAGCTAAAGAGTCCTTATCCCCCAATATGAATCTACAGGGTGTTTGTATTTAAACACAACATAGGGAATATTTTGCTGCCTGTAGGAGGAGTTCGACGAATGCCGAAAGGCCCACCGGGTTGCATATTTGCAAGGAAACACCCCAGGGATAGGTTTCATCCTTCCAATTATGCAACCCGGTGACCTATAAGGCATGCCATGAACTTCACAAACAGGCAGCATAAACTTCCCTATGCTGCGTTTAAATATGAACACCCTGTACAGTGTGTATGATAAGTAACTCCCTATTTTAAAATGCTCGTAACTCTTATTTTTTAACGAAATTTAATGAAACAAACTGTGAATTATGCACCATTTAGTGAGGTTTTTATTAGTCTAATCTTCACACTTCCATGTATGCACTGTCCTGCATTGTCAACACATTTCCTTAAGTGAACAGGTACGTTTCCCACGGCTGATTATAACATGTGTCGAGGTATGTTATGAAGAGCATTGTTGGTTCTTTCTTCAAGTTCATTAAGATTTCATTAAATTCACTAAGAACAAGTGCCTGCACAAACTGATTCACCAGAATTCTTGTAAAAATTGCATTCAATTTTTCAATGTTTTCAGGTGCTTGTGAGGTTGATGGTTGTCATGTCTGTTACTGAACCGGTTGTCATTAACTTCGGATGACATTTATTCATTGTCTTAGCATCTAGTGTTGCATGAGGACCATTTTCAACCCTCCACCATTGCTGAACTTTAATTATTGATCCCCAAACCTCGTAACAGGCAGCTATTTTGGCCCTTTGTTAAACTGTTAGCCTGTTAGCCATTCTTTAACCTGAAACAAAAACACAAATGAAAATAAAAAACCTCACTAATTGGTGCATAATTCACAGTTTGCTTCTTTAAATTTAGTTGAAAAATGAGAGTTACAAGCATTTCAAAACAGGGAGTTACTTATCATACACCCTGTACTCTTGAAAAACTGCTAATGAAAAAGGTTTCAGTATTCAATCTTTAACCTTCTGCAGAGTAGGAAAATATTATGTTTCTGAAGTAACAGAAGCTACATAGTTTTGAAGAGCTATCTAAGTCATCACATAGGGGTGGAAAGGTCATTGGCATCATCAACAGCATTTAGTTAACCCCTTAACTAGGGGGACTGCCTTTTGGTGCTAAATTTTTTGCCCTAGCATTGCACTCACTGCCTTTAGGCAACCCTGCATTTAGATGGCCAGCAAATTCTGAATGGATGCCAAAAGATGCATGGATACTCACTATCTTTAAAGATATTCTGCTAACAAGTGCATGTATCTAGTGAAAGAAAGACTCTATCAAATATAGCAAAAACTCCCCAGTTAAGGTGTTAATTCCAACTTCTTCGTTTACTGGCATTTTGAATGCCTCAGGGAACAGGTGCATATCAAAGAGAAAAAGACACAAGAAATAGATTCATCCAACATTATTTCTTTCAAGCTCACATGGGATCAAATAATATATTCATATACAGGGTGTCCCAAAAGGTATGGAAACATTTCAAAAACTAATATCTCTCTAAATAATGCCTCAAATAAAATGATTAAAACAGTAAACTGAAGTGCAACTCAAACATTTTTCAACCTGCAATTGCAATTCCACATGGGCACCATTTGTGATTCTGTAGATGTCTAAGCGATGTTTGAGCTCTTACCACACCTTTTCCAGAGTGTTAGGCATAACTATCAGGATAGCTTGGACGATTCTGTTCTTTGGATCCTGATTGATTTTCTATTTTTCTCCAGTAAGTGATGTCCTTGACATAGTCCACAAGAAAGAGCCCTCTAGGGTTAGTTCAGGTGATCTTGGTGGCCATGGAATGAACCTGCTTTGTCCAATCCACAGATCTGGTTTTTTTTTTCTCCATGCCTTAAATTGCTAAAATGTGGAGTTGCAATATCTTAGAAAATTAGACTTTAATTGTGCCTGAACCCACCCCTCTTAGATTTAGAACTTTTCTTGAGCAAGCAATCTTCAATCAAATCTGAAGAACAGAATTGATGCAGCTATCCAGATAGTTATACGTGACACTCTGCATAAGTTGTGGTAAGAGCTTGAACATCATTTGGATGTCTATAGAGCCACAAATAGTGCCCATGTGGAATTGCAATAACAGGTTGAAAACTGTTTTACTTGCACTTCATTTTACTGTTTTCATAATTTTATTTGAGGTATAAGCTAGTGATATATCAATTTCTGAAATGTTTCCATACCTTTTGGGACACCCTGTATATCAATGAGCCTGATATTAGCAGGCATCACTTGCCACAGGCTAAAAATGGTCTCTTGCAAAAAATATGCAGTAGATTATTAGGGATAAGTCTATGTCATCAACATGATCTAAATTGAGAAAGGTCACATTAGAGTAGCATGAACAATGGTGAAGAACAATTGCAGCAAGTCATGCATTTTACAAAAAGAAAACCTCTAAAGCACCATTCCACATATTTAAAAAGTGACCAGTTGAGAAGCAGTGGGCAGAATAGATCTTTCCATCTTTACTTAAACGTCACTTCAAGACTCCTGCAAGAGTCCTCAGGTAATGTACAGTGAGTATAAGAGGACCAAGAGAACTTTCTGATGATACAAAATTCAATATGATTTTAGCAGGAAATTCTATGCAATCAGTAAGAAAATGAAGGGCTATACCCATACAATTCACTTGGAAGAATGCTCACATTAAAAAAAAAGGATATTATTCTGAATGTAACAGTACATAACACCCCTTCCCTGAAGATTGAACTTCTGACAGAATGTGAGATTCTAATAATGGTTTATTCTTCTTAAAATTATCAGACTTACCTTGCATTTCCATGTTCTGGGTATGCCAGGGAGAGGTGGACGAATGCACTGGAGGTGATATGACTTGTAGCAAATGTCACAGTCAATGGAATTGGTCTCCTCAGCTATGTCTTTACACACAGCACATGTCTTACATGATGGACACTCCCAACCAGCTCGATTCCCTGGAACAAACGGCATGCCATCAACATTATTTTCAACTTTCACTTTGGTGAACAGGGGCTAACTTGAAATCATCAGCTGTCATATGGTAACATATATTAGCATTGTGCATAAGATTTACTGGTATGTTACCCATTTTAGTAATTTAAGTTGTCCACATTTCCATAAAGATTCTTTCCTCTGACCCTTTGATAACCCATAACCACATATATGGACATTAGTTATAGGGCTCCGTTTCATATTTTCCTTAAGCTGATGAGGCTTTAACAGAGACTGACATGTGAAATACAGCTGACGAATGTTTTTCCAAATAAATGGACAAAAGGCATCAAAGGATTCAAGTCTCATTAGCTGAAGAAAATTTGAAACAGAGTCATAAAAAGTTTCTCCACATGTCAAGACTGTGTGTCAAAGAGCTAACAGATTGTGGGCATAACAGCATGAAAATGAGTCAAAATTGATGAACCATACAGCAAATAATTTGGAATTATTTTTTTACATTTCCAAATTGACTTAAATGCAACTAGTGGCCTGTGGCTGCTACGTTGGTTGTCTAATGGGCAGAAATTTGAAAATGTTTACATAAAAATATGAAGCAATTCAGTTAAAACCAAACATTTAAAAAATTTTCAACAAAACTCTTGACACTGTAGTAACTGCCATCTACAGGGTGAGTCTTTTAAAAGTAGATAAAAGTATATCAAAGTTTTTATGGCCTAGCTGACGGCCTGGAATGGCATAGCATTGTAGGCCTCATGCAATAGGGGTGACAGCCACCACAACTTTCGGCCTCTTTCAATTAAAGTGTTAGATGACATGACATGCATTTTGCATTTCACCCTCAAACTAAACATTAGGTTATCCAAGCATACCAGAAACTAGAAATCATAAAATAAATGAAAGGTAAATTTTTCAAGGCATCAGCCTAGATTTGGATGTTCACCAGATATCTAGTAAACACTCTACTTGAGCCAATGTCCTGTATTGCATATAGGGTGATTCAAAATAAACACTCTACCATTTTCTATGGGAGAAACACAGTTTCATAAAAGCAAAAAAAATATTGACATCGACCACATGATTGACATTCGACAGTTACAAGGTGTTGAGATGCATGCCAGCTTATTTTCAGCACCCCTGCCTAAGTCATGCAATGCCCATTTAGAGGTGAATTAAAGGTGCTTAGAAGTGGATCATTCTACCTCAAGCAAGCTAATGATATGTGCTCGACTGTCTCAGAATTCAATGACATTTGGCAAACAGTCAGAGTATTTTGAGAATAACCCACAGACAAAAAACATGTATGTACTTTGAGCAGAGGCCAAGAAAAGTGAGTTTTACTTTGATAGGGTAGGGGGTTGGGGGCGCAAAATGGCCCCAATCCCCAGATGCTAAAATCCTGACTGCACAGTTACTATGTCACCACCCTATTTTGATTGGCTATAACTTTTCAAGAGACAGTTGGATGCAGCTGATACTTGACAGAGTAGTTCATGAGTTTGAGAGGATTTTGTACATCTGCAAGAGGGAGCTGTATACCAATAGAGGGCACTGTAGTCAATCAGAGGGCCCCCAATCTTCGTGCTATGGCACTTTAAGGTAGGAAAAAAAACAAAACCAGTAGGTTTTTTTTAGAGCCTTAAAACCTTACATAAGCCACTCTGTCAAATATCCATTGTATCTGAAAGCCCTTTCAAAATAGTTGGTCTTGAAGCCAATTTAAAATATATGAATGAATCCAAATTGATTGGAGGCCAAATTTGGGGAAATTACTCTAACTGACTTTTGAAATGATGGAGCAAAGACCATTACTGCATTTGAGGTATAATGATCCACCTGTAAACTTTGAAATAGGACAATGCACAGCTTGAAGAATTGTTCTGAGAAAAACCCAGACAATCTTCTTAACACCTTGTATATGCCCAATATCAAAAGTTAATAAAATCATTTTTGCTCCAATATATGAATCTTACTTTCTCCCATAGAAAATGGTAGAGTGTTTATTTTGAATCACCCAATATATATGGGACATTTAGAAAGTTTGTGACCTTTCCAATTTGATAATGACCTGAGATATTGCCCGAGTTATGATGTCTTTCCTCTTTCCAACATCTTTCTTTTGAAAGATGTTGGAAAGAGGAAAGATAAATGTGTGAAGAGGAGAGCATGTGTCATTTATCTTCACACATTCTTTCCACTTTTGCAGGTTTTTACTGCCAGTCTCATTAGTGAAAAAGATGAAAATGTAAAAACATCAAGTACATTAAAGCAATTCAATTCTTGATTTTGAAAAGCTATGGTCTCAGGGCGATTCACAAGTTCATGAGTCTATGACAATGAGTCTCTTTCCTAATGCATGATCCCCTTTTTCTTAGACTTTCTCATCTTCTTGGCCAATTTGCATAGATATTCCTGGTGTATGATGTGATAATTTCTAAAGTCCAACAAAAAGGGATATCAATGCTATCATATGAATCATACAGCATGATATAGTCCATCCAGTCCAATGTTGCCGCACTTTTAATCCTCAAAGGAGTCATTAAATGTCATCTATCTTCCTCTCCCCTGAGGGGAAAGGGTGATTTCCCTTTGACCCCTCTGCCAGACACTGGTGCAGCGGTCCTGAGGGGGGACATCACATATGAATGATTTTAGAAATCTTGATAAGACGCCCGATGAGTGCCAGAAACACTTAGGTCCATCGCTGATAGCCTGGAGCCCCTTTCCAACATTTCGACAGGCTGATGGCAGCACAAAATTAATGAGCTACCATAAAAGCAATGCCAGCATTGCAAAGTTGGACCTTGGACCGGATAGACTATACTCTATAAATACAAATATCTTTCCAAATGAGAGGAAAGAAATGAAAGAAAACTCACAGGAATTAATGTGAGAATCATCAGAGACACAGTATATATGAAAATGATGATCACAGTTGGTGCAGAACACCAGCTCCTTCATGTCACCAGGTTCATCACACAGAAGACATCTTGCAGCTGAGCCAGCTATCATCAATAGACCAATAATACAGTATCATGTCTCATTCAGATAGTACAGGGCAGTACATAATAATTTGCCTCCCACACCATCTGTGAAGTCCACTGATGTAACTTAGCATGGAGAGCTACCTATATAATTATATCCACTAGTATAGTTTTTATCTGCAAACCTGGATCAAATCTGAATTTTCAAGGACATACAGGCAAGTGATCCCCCAAAGCTTAAAATAAATTCTTGCTATAGTTTTTGCTCAGCAAATAACAGAAATGAAACAAAAGTCTGTCATGTACAAGGATAAAAGTAATATTTCAATATGTCTTCCATGCACAACAGGTTGGACAAGAGAAGTCATGTTGGGAGACAATAGATGTGTCTTCTTTTACTGTCATTTAACTGACAGATTTTATTTCCCTGAAGACACCATAGACATTCTTAAACCATGATCATGTGATGGTCACAGAGTAGGCAATTGTTTCCAAGGATGAAGGCTTCATGGTTTTGAGTGGAAGAAGCCACCTTTAAAGAACCAATACTACATTCCAAGGATAACCTTCCTTCGAAAAGAGCGACCTTTCAATTTTCATGATGGTAACCAGGAAATTCCCTACCAAACAAAAGAATGCAATAGGAGATCCAGAGGGGGGAAAATAGGAGATGTTCTTGACATTGAACACCTAACAGGAATGAAAGTGAGAAGCATGGTTTTACAAAAGAATTAACAAGGAAAAAGGTTCATGGAAGTCCAGAGACGATGAACTCCCTATGGAATTTCTGGGCTTTGTATAATGCAGTTCCCACACCCATTCGCCCCTGACATCATCATACTACCACCAACTCATTACTGTGCACAAATGTGAAAGGTTGGAGAGGAGAATGACTAAGAGGGAAACGAACTGAAAGATTTACGTATATACTTCTGCCCCTTTTAGCGCAAAAAATTGCCACATGCACAGCGTAAGCCATGCCAGCAGCAACATTCCCAGAGGCATGGGACTTGCCTCATTCAGACCCCAATCATTTCTTCGTTTCCTTTTTTCTAGTCCTTCACAAGTTTCACACAATAACCATTTCAGTCTCGGTTATACCCATTATCTCACATGATGAAGCACACAACAAGTATTTTGAGTAATGGCACAATAACAGCATATGATCATGTTTCATTACACATTTGGCAATTACAGAGAATGAAGAGATTTGAATGAATTAAATAGAACCTCCACCTCTTGATGACCTGCAAAATAGGGTAGAGGAATCAGCGATTAATTCCTGTTCTCAGCAGCTTACAATGGATGGTCAACAGGCTTCATGGTCAAAGTTCAAATTGTAAATTGTAGAAGTGTAAGGATCATGGGGATGTCTCTTCATGATGAAAAGGACATAAAAAATATAGATTTTCCTGTTTTGAATTAAAAAACCCATTCAATTCTTCTTGTCTGGTTGCTCCACTTTCCTTGCCCCACCATCAAAATGAATATAATTTTCCTCTATTTTCACCAATTCCCACACATCATAATAACCCAGGAAAAGTCAACTTCATCCTCACGAACATTGTCAACAGGTTCACAAAAGTTTTCCCAACCTGATGTCCACTGACAGCATTCTATACACTTGCTAACTCAGGTCTCTATGATCCATGAGTACAAAGACCAAGGGTCTTCAAGGTCTAGCTCACTGCCGTGCTATAAAACATGAAACCCTGCTCTCTCCAAGCTACTTCTCTAATCATAATCCTACTGTTTGTGAGTGTAAAAATACAAAAATTTAGAGGCATTGATTCAAACTCACGTTGCACATTCCCTACATAAAAAGTAGGCTGTCACATAGATCAATGTCACTACCAATAGTTGCAGGCATCAATAATATCACAAGCCATCACGATGGTCCTGGCTCTTTCCTCCCACGATTGATAATCGCGGCGAGAAACAATAAAGACCTACTCTCCAACCTAGATGAGAGATGACAGAATCAGCTGGAAAATCCTCCTCCTTCATGGCATTCAGTGGCGGTAAATGGCCGGAATGTCCAGGAAATTGTGAACTATTGATTGATATATTTAATGGATTCTTGCAGGTATTATTAGAACAGGCTACCTCCAGAATGGCTACAAGATACATTATGCTCACAATTCAGCAGATAGGTCTTGCTTTCGAGCAAATCTAATTTCTGCAGAATAGTGCACGTAACAAATTCAGTAAGGAATTTCCCAACAGAACTTTCCTGAATCTCACCGTGTGCAAGGAATTGTGAACCTCAAGATCACTTAATCTGAAACTATCAGATTTTTTTGTGGGAGTTCCTCAAGTCTTGTGTGAATCATCAGAGCCCAGAGTTATAGAAACCCTCACAGAAAAGACTTCTGTGGCATGGTTGCAGCGATTTCAGGAGAACCGTTTGTAAGGATCTTTGGCTATGCATTTTCTCGGTGAAACAGATTTATAGAAGTTTGAAGACTTGAACCATTAGTAAATATATTCCAAATGTCAGAACACACTCGAATTCATATTCCAGAAGATGTGAATAAATCCTCTTATGGAGTGTGAAATAGCATTGGAGATATGTTGAGGAAAAAAAAAAAGTTATCCCATAGAGTGAGATTTTCGGGGGACCCTGTAACTTCCCAAAGCATCAATGCATCATTGACACTACAGGTCAATACATTGTTTTGAAAAACAGCCATCATGACAACACTAATAAAACAGCTTTTTGTGTCGAAGATATATCAATAGACTCCCCAGAGAAAACTTAACACTGTGGGCCACCATGAACATAAGCACATACTGATGAATGTACATATATTCATGATTCAATCTCCTAAAATTTGGGTAGTGCTACAGCCAAACTGTTTGAAAGGTAGCTCAAGCCTCCCCATGGGTCACCAGTCTCATCACACCCCCTCCTCCCTCCAAAGTCATCATTCACCTCCCTCAATCCTGAGCCCCCTCCTTCATAACATCCTGCTAATAACACTTAGATACCTCTACTGCAAATTACAAATCCTGCCAACAAAAGTGTGAGGAGTACATTCCCTAAATATATATAGTAAAAACTGCATTTTTTAAGGGGATACTAAGATCAGGTAGGATGCTATTTGACTCTACCCTGACTCCAGTTAAACAATGGAACCTGAAATCCATATGAAACCCAGTTGCAAGGAGATACATCAACCTTCAGTAAAGTATAGAATAAACACAGAACATAGAAGATAATCTTGGCAATAGGCCTTCCACTAATGGAGGGCAAAGTAAAGTGTGAGGAGCACATAGATCAGAGGTGCATACCAAGTGTAGGTGCCTCAGGAAGATGATCAAGGCAGATGATGGTAAAGTTCCGTGGATTCTGGAATGCACATGCAGTGGCAGCACATGGGTAATGAAACTGGGCAGGACATTGGAACACACGGCAGCGTATCGTGGCACCCAGGCGCCGGCACTGGGTGCAGCGTTCCATCAACCCCTTCACCATTGCCTTATCTACATCAGTCAGGGATACAAGGGGATTTGCCCCAGTTGACCACTGTGCACACTTCCTGTGTGCATAACAGTGACCTGCAACAGAGTGAATGAATCAATGCTTTTATGAAGAAAATAATACCTTAAAGAAGATGAACAGCTACCACAGAACTGCAAAAAGAATTGAAAACAAACCAGACTGATCAAACAGAAGTGAGAGATCAGGTTCTTCTGCAAATCCAATGCATGCGAGTTCATCAAATGGTTCAAAGTCTGTGCTGGAGTTCTTTCGTGGAGAGCGGCACTTCTCCCTGAAATGGATCCAATCACATTTGCTCCCATGAGTTTATTTTCCTCAGCTGCCATATGAATAACAGATGAATAAAAGTCATGGATGATCACCTTTTCGAGCCAAAATATGGGGGGGAAGTGACAGATGTGGGTGTTTTTGGTGTCTTCTTAGATGTACTGAAAGAACCACTAGTACTTGCTTTAAATTGGCCTTCACTTCTCTTGATGGTATTCAAGTATTCAACTGGGGAAAATTCAGGATTGGGTTCAATCCTCAAGAGCTCTCCTTGGCCAAGAAGACTGTTATCTCCCAGGCCACAAAAACCACAGAACCTCCCAGGCCTACGAACACAATGAGAAGTAACACAAATCAGCGTTTTTGAGTGTTAATGTTCATAACCAAAATCTTTATGTGGTCACTCACCATTTCTCCACAAATTCAGGAAGCTGTGAATTCTGATCAGAAGAATCATCTATCAACCCCCCAGGATCTCCCATGTCATTATCTCTGGATTTTTTGCTAGACAGTCGAACCACCTTGCCTCCCTTCACGTACGCACCACTGAATAGGCACACACAACAATGATGCAGCAGAAATCATAAAAGGAGGTTATTAAGGGAAAGGAATAATATTCTTCATTTTTTCTTCAGTCCAATGGGTTACCTGTCAAGGCGTTTTATCTTGATGCTGAAATACTTTGGTGTTAGGAGAGCCTGAGGATTTGGTTTCCCTTCCTTACGTGGCTTGACTCTTGGGAGCTTTGGGACACCAATAGTGCCTTGAGCAAAATCCAGGTTGTCATGTTCCTCTCCTCCACGGGCTGAAGTTGGTGTAGGGGTTGATGCCGTTGAAGCTAAAACAAAAAATGTTTAATACTCCCTCAAGTAAGTGGAGTTTTCCAATGCACTTTCTTCTAAAGTCTATAGCTGCAATAGTAGCTTTAGGACATGAATATCAAGGCCTTTGGATCGGAAAATATTTGTTTCACAAAAACTAGGCAAATTATGTGACTAAGATTGAGAGGATATGGAAGAAGTGGACAACAAGAATTTGTTTTGTTTGAAAAATGCATTTTCTGGAAAATTAATAGGAAACAAGAGGCACACCTTGGTCAGACTCATGTGTGGAGGCAGAGGAAGGTGCACATTCTGTATCAACAGTGGATGAGACACCAAGACGTTCTACTTCTTCATCTTCTAGGCTTTCCCCTGGTAATAGGCCTAACTGAGTTTGCTCTGGCAGTTTGATACGAATGGTGGTTGGTTTTTCACCTTGTCCCACCAACACGGGTCCCACTTTTGTGGGGTCTGGGTTGGATGCAGTTGTCTCCAATTCTTCACCTTCTTCCATTCTCACAATGGTTTCACATAGAAAGAATTGGTTTCATGCCAGGCAACCCAGACATTTTTCCTAAAAAGAAGCATGAGATATTATTATGTAATTATCTTAAAGTAGTCCTAAGCTACCATTTGACCAGTATTCAACATTACAAGGAAGGGAGATCATGATATATCCAAAAATGAAGCACTATAGCCCATCTTGTAGTAACACCAATATTGACTGCAGGACTCAACATCCCTGTAGAAGACATACTACCTTCCAATGCCAGTGATTACTGTGTTTTTCACTTGAGTTAGACACTTTTTCACTCGACTTCGACACCCATGCACGAGGAACATCCCATGCACGTGTGTCTGAGTCAAGTGAAAAATTGTCTAACTCAAGTGAAAAACACTGTAACAAAATTACAATGTTACTGCTCCACCAAAGGCGACTGAGGAAGACTTCGATAGGCAGGGATGCTGGAAGGCAGACCAAGATGAACAAAAAAAAGAGAGTTTTGCTTAGGTCTGCTTATGGGAAAGGAATCTAATGTGAAAACTAATATAGACCTTCAAGACTTCATGTGGAGGCAAAGTTTGGTCAACATATTTGGTTTCTTTTCTCAATTATTCTCTGGAAATCCTTTCTATAAAGGATAGTCCAAAACATGGGCGTCCGCTCCCAGGGGCAAGGGGGGGCACTTGCCCCCCCCTGGAAATCGGGCATGGCAATTTACTGGTAGTACTATAAAAGAAATTCAATGTACTTCATGTGGAAATCTCTTCTTCCGTAGCACCATTTAGACCAATCTTGCCACGCAATATGAAACATCCTAACGAGTTAAAAATTCAACTCAACCCATCTGGTCCAGAGGTTCCGGTAACACTACTGCTCTACATAACATCGCGCCAAAGCTGAAGATCGTACAACATGGAATGCAAGTATCCCAGGCTGAATGGCTATTTCACGCAATTTTTGCAGTTACATTGTTATTTTTTTTATAACCAAGGTGCCTGTTGTTTCTCTTCGAGTAGAAGACCCTCCCAGCAAACAAGGCTATGTTGTACCAATGTTACAGACGTTGATTCAGCGTTATGTGTTTCAAATTGTTTGCTGGGCTGTCTCATTGTCTGACATAAGAGTTGTATAATAGGTCTACAGGTAAGGGCTACTTTGAGGCCCACAATTTCTGTTGTTGTTTTTAACACATTGATGACGGGCATTGATGACGTCACCAACGTGTTAAGGCGAAACATTTTTCCTTTGATTGCAGTTATGAAGAAAAAAAATGAAGAATTGGTAATGAAAACTGTATGGTTTTTGGCCTTAAAAACAACGGCAGAAATTGAGGTGGGATCTGAGTAAAAACGTGTGGTATGCTTTTAAAAAAGTATATGAGCTTTGAAATTGCTCTCATCTTTTGCTCAAGTAAATGGCAGACATTCTGCAAATCTTTCAATTTTGTTGAGCTGCATAGAAAATGGCACCATACAATTGAAAACTGTTTTTTTTTTTGCGAAATTTGTGATTTTGAACATTTCGAGCCATCACATCTTAAACGGAATTTGTTGGGACAAAAATGGGATACACATCATTAGATCTTCTGCTGATTCCAAAAACATAGATGAACATGTTAGGTTAGATGAACATGTTGACATTTTGCAAATTTTTGAATCTACCAAAAATAGGCAAATTTTACATAGCTTTATTTTATTCAGTGTCGCCTCGAGGAGAAAAGTAAAATATATGAAATAACTTCGAAAGTCTGAATTTTGAAGAACAATGGTGTTCACTGCGTTCGTTTTGGTCAGAAAGTTTTTGGCCCACGAGTGTGAATAGGTGCACCTTTTTTTAATTTCACAAAATTTAACAAATTATTGTGCTAAAACGGTTCCATACCCAAAACTAAAATTTTACATTCTAACTTTGGGTCATGAGGGGTACCACATTAAAAATTTTCATCAAAATCAGAGGGGGTCATGCTCCAGCCTCTGGCTAATTTGAGATGGAATTACCCCGGTATAATTCCTTGTACTTTATCATCATTTTACAAAAGATAATTTACCCTTGTGTGTGCATCTATTCTGCCATTCTTGTGCCTTGCCCCCTCCTGGGAATAAACCAGCGGACGCCCATGGTCCAAAAGTGAATTGATTAATGGGATTTCACTGATAAATGGTGGGATAGGCCTTCAATAAGAATATTCTGCCATGGTGTCAAATACTGATCAGGGTACTTTCTCCTGCAGGCTACAACTCATGATTTAAAAAAATGCTGGAGGGACTCAAAAAATGTCACAAATCTAAGGAATAGCACATTCCTTATAGACTTTTATAGTGCAACTTTAGCATGCACTACTTATGTATGCATTCAAAATCTGTCAACAATGGCAACAGGCATGCATGTTCAGTCAACAAAAGTGGCATTCCTTATTATAGATAGTCCACAAGCAGAACAATGAGGTGTGCCAAAGGGATGCAACTGAATTAAGTGCACAAGAAAATTCCACCAGTATGGTGAGGCATTTTGCAACAGGAATGTTGTGTATGGCTGGTGCAAGAAGTTCTGAAGCAGCCATACAAACATTTTGGATGTCGCATTTTTGAGTCCCTGCTTTTATCATTACACTGTAGCACAAGTGAATAAGTTAGTGATGGAAAACCAGCTCATTAGAGGTAGACACTGCTCATGAAACACTGTTATCCAATGGTTATGGCATATCACATTTGAAGAAGAGGTGCAATAACATATATGTGAAGGCCATCAGAGTCAGGCCACATCATTTTATGCCAGTCATATGCAAGCATGTTAACAAGTGGGACAAGTGTCCAATGTATGGGAGGATGATGAAGGGGGAATTAAATTCCAAGGATTGCCATCTACCATCATATGCTCATCTAAAATTTCCTTTCAGAATTTATTTTTTAGAGCCCCTCGAATTCACGATATGGATGAAAGAAAATTGCATGAAAAAATTTGAGCAAATGGGAAATATCAGGCTGATGCCTGCTTAGAAATCCAAACAGATGTTAGGGTTCATTTTATCATCATTCCTTCAAAATACTATATAACAGAATCAGCATTACTTTATGTGGCTTTTGGCAATAGGAGAAAAGTTGTCAAGCTACAAATGGAAAAATGCAAAAGAAAATAGGAAATTTCCACTGAACAATCACAATTGGAAAATTAACAAGCTAGCCAATCCACCATGATGGCATCCACAGAAGACATTTTAAAGACCATTCTATCTTTGATTTCACAAGTCCAATGGTCTGCATTATTAACAACAGTTGTAAATAGGGGCGGATACGGAAATTTTTCTTAAGGGGGTGATTCCCAAGTTCCTACCTACCCCCCCCCCCCCCCCCCAAACCTACCACCATTCTTCATCCTTTCGCCTTTTTAATTTTTTGTCTGGGGTAAGAACTTGGGTATCTATTTCACTGGCTCCAATAAAATTAATGCAGATGCTATTTTGAATAAATAAATCAAATGCTAACCTGGCCATAAGGGGGGTGGTCACTCCCCCTCCTCCCCCCTGCATCTGCCACTGGTAGTATATCTACCATAATAAAAGAAATTCTCAAAATAATTAGCATCATTGGAATGAAGTCATTGTATCAATAGGGACTGGCACACAGTGTTTTGGCTTTCTCTTAATTATTTCAATTTTTTTTGTCCCTTTCCTTGGATAGTTTCTCAAATTTCAACCTTTGCAAGCTGCCAAATGAAGAAATAGTAAAAGTGTTTGGCAGTATCATGAAAAAATAACAAAGAAATATATCCTGGAAGCTACATTCTCACTATCCAGCAAAGCATCAGGATGCAATGCTTCCAATTCATGTCAATTTTTCCTTTCTTTAAAGTAGTAAGATACATTTTTTTGGCTAAATCCCAGAAACCAATTTATGAAATAATGATGCCAACTCTTGAAGTCTTGAAGAGAGGATGAAGCAACCACAACCAACAGTTACATGTCTATTCCTTAATGTTATTGGCAAGATATTAATATTTAGTCTGTGGTGAATAAAAAATATGAATAAAAAGAAACAATTTTCAGTTGTTCAGGTAAATCTAGATTTAAATTCATGCCAGTAACTTTCTCCTAAAGATAGGAGAAAGTTATTGGTATGAATTTAGATTTCTAGCTAACAAGGGCTATTTATGGCAAACAGCATGAACTCCTTTGTATAAAGAGGGGGATAAAACATCAAAGTAAAAAAAATCAAGCCTTGCAGCACCAATGAGAAGTCCAAGTAAATTTAAAGTCCTATTTCAAAAAAGTAGGCATTAAACATGGTCAACAAGGAAAATTTCAAAGATATGCATGATTAATAACATGAAGTGAGGTATATCAGTGAGTTTCAGGGATGTCTATTTCAAGAGTTGCACTGGCTGAACTTGGACTTGGGTAGATAGAAATGCATGATGCATCTGGGCTACTGAAAACACCTGTTTTCAGTGAGATGGTTTTTCCAGTAGTTTAAAAAGAACAACTTTCTATCAGAATGGCTTCTTCCCCAAAATGGTTGTTGACTCGTATTCTCCACCCCCAGCAGTTTCATGTATACTGATTGAGCCGTTACATTTTCGAATCAAGAAACCTGAAGCCTTTAATGGAGATCTCTCTCATCCACATAGTAGGCCTACTCAGCTCCGCGCAAAAGTTCGATCTATCTCCAAGCCTGACCAGCCGGTTAGACACAAACAGCTCACTTTTTGGTGAGTTCCAAGAATTTAAAAAACCTATCATAGGTCAGGCTAACATTGCGTCTATCCTATGCCTAGGCCTTTGGATACCAGTCATTCTGCCTACGATGGCATTAGGCAGGCCTAACCTTACTTCTACAAACTTTCGAATGCCTAGGCCTAGATGAGTGCTTTTCACTAGTATAACCCTGATCTCTACGTTTTTCAAGGCTAGTAGAGTTCGGCTTCGGCGTTCCACAAACGCCAATATGGCGGCTTACTATAAGGGAACGGTGTTGCCAAGCCAGATTTGCACTGGTACGGCATTGCTGCAAATGTGACCCTGCAGCAGCAGAGAGAGACAGAAAGAAATGATTTAAAATACCAATGATTCATATGAAATAGC